TACCTGCCTGTGGGAGGAGTTGTCTGGAGATTATTAATAGTATCTACTTTTCTTGCATGCATGCTTTTCACGCCGCTCTGATTAATAATTAATCCCAGATCGCGATAAAGTCATCGAACTGCTTGCGAATATCTTCCTGATATTCATTGACAATTTAATATACCGAGAAAATTATTCTTATCAACGCAACGTAAACGAATTCATTTCTGATATGTATAATGAATTAACTTCTGTATGTATATATATGTTTTCTAGGATATACGTAATGTATATTCTATAGTAGATTCTCGTAATATTAAAAAAAATTCCAATAATTTTTAACTTAATTTTTATTTTATCATAAAGAGATAATAACTTTTATTTTATTTTATTTTATTCTCTCTGTCGAAAATAACACACACACACACACACTCTCTCTCTCTCTCTCTCTGCGCGCGCGCGCGCGCGCGTGCGTGCACAGAGTGATTTTTACTTATGTATTAATATTTTAGAGAATTAATTTTAATGATGCCATTGATAATTAATGACATCTTGAAAAAAATTATAAATATAGATATAGATTATGTTTTCTAAATTGCAATAAATGTTAAATTGTTAGAAACTAACTTAATGGATGAAACAATAAATCTACAAAAATACATAGTACTTTGTAGTGTTCTAAAATAAATAAATAGATAATAAAGAAACAATAAATATTTCCTAGCAAAATTTTTCCATCTAATTAATATAATTATTCTTTTTATAGATCATGTTATTACTAAAGCGAATATTATTAATAATAGCTTTGCTGACAGAACGATAACTCTCTCAATGTAATGAAACCTGTTTAATTTGAAACTGTATAATTTGAGCGCATCACAAACAAGTATTCATAAAATTAAAACAAAGTTTAGTAAGCGTGACTGTATTTCAGAACGGATAATCATGTTTTATCGTATATTTGATCTTTTAACAATGTACTAACTCAAATTCGAAAACTATTAGATAGTTTTATGTCAGTCACGCGCATCTTTTTGATCTTAAAAGGCCGACAAGAAATTGTTTCACAACTTTCTACGACAGATAAGAACAAATTAATTCTAATAGGATACTCCGCGTCATAGCTGCGCTAGTTCTTACATTTTTCAGAAATCGTGAAAGTGCTGCATTGATATACTACGACATGCATCAAGCTTTCGCCTTCATCACTTATAGTTTGTTCTCGCGATGTGGGTCATGTGCATCGTAACAGGTTGCAATATTTTTGCTTTTGAAAACAACTGCAAAGAAGCATCATCCGATTTATTTTCCTCTCTCAAAGCGTTGCTCAATAGTGCGATCGTAAGCGGATTCAACGAAGCACATCGAGCAGAGTTTTGAGTTTTGTTGACGGAAAAGTAAATTTGCCCGATTACATTTCGTAATCGTTTTTTTTTTCACTTGTTTAGTTGTCGTACGATTATGTTGGAATTAAAAAAAAGCGGTTATTTCCTGACACTGACATAAGATCTTTCAAACCGCAACTTTTTCAAGAGTCTCTTCTCCCTGCAAGTCCGCGAATGGAATTGCAAGTTGATGAAATGGAAAAATATGTATATTTATATTTATAATTTCACATTTCTATCGAATCAACTAAAAACTGTTACGTAAAACCATCTTTTACAATTAATATTATTGCTGAGTGCGAAATTGATGTTACTTTTAATTTGTGTCGACTGGAATGTGGAAAAAATAAAGAAATATTAAAAAAAAAGTTGTCGAAAAACATTGAACATATGAAAAATAAAATAAAATAAAAGCCTATCATCTCTGTATGATAAAATAAAAATTGAGATAAAAGATTCTGAAATATTATGTCTTTTAGAGGATGATTAAGATCTATTGTTAAATCTTACGGTTTCTACTTGAGTAAAATTTATAATCCGTTGTTTCATTGTATTCCTTTTCTCAAAATATAGCACTTTCAGCGTCATTAGAGTGATTTTCCATTTTAAATATTATATGGGAATTGGGATAAAAAATAAATATTACAATATATGAGAATTAGAATAAAAAATAATTATATGTATATATTCTACAACATTTAAATATATACAAATATGTTCTATTTTCGGAATAAAAAAGTATAGAAATTAAAAAAAAAAGGATTGACAACTACAAAATGTCAACATATATGGAACTAAATAAGAATTTCATTGCTATCTGTCATTATGTACGTAAGGTCAATGTCCCTATATCTACTCAAGTTCCGATTTCTACTCACCATAAACTTTTCTTCGTAATATAAATATTCAGCTGATAGAATAATTTACAGAAATATTAATTATACAATAAATTATTTATATACTCCCGCGTGAGTTGTATAGGCTCGCCAGGTAGCAGTATGTATTTAAAAATGAATTTCATAATAATCATAATTCAAGCAGTCGTTACCATTGGCAACTTTGGTCGTGACGCTATTGATTTGTGTAAGCATTAGTAATTTTATCCAGTCACAAAATCCAGCAGCAAAATCTGCATCGTTCTATGAAAAGTTTTTGTGTCTTTAACAAACAACAGACTTCTTCGTGCTTCCCTGCTACTTATTGTGGTTTTTTTTTGTGGAAATAATAGGTGATTAGCATTACGTTCAACTATGAGTTCCTATTTTGACTCATTACATTCAATACTATTGACCTCCAGATGTATATTTATTCTTCTTATACTTATTTAAATTGTATAATATATTATTTTTAAATTATTTTTAAATTATTGTATCTAAATTCAAAATTTATTCACGTTTTAGATTTAAACATGCCTAAAATAAATTATAGAAGTGACAAGAAACAAATATCAAGAAGAAGAAGAAAAAAATCCGTAAAAAATGTAAATATTTAAGATATTCTCAACAAAGTCTTTTTGTCGTTGTTTTATAAGAAGCTGTTTCAAAAGAATTATCTTATAAGTTATTTATTATTTACATGCTTTGTTTTGTGCGAAAATAAGTGTTCAAAAATTTGATAAAAAGCATTATTCATTTGCAAAAGATCAATAAACACATAATCAAACTCAATATCGACGAATAAAACATTACAGTTTTATGAGTAGAAATTAGGGACACATACTGAGTAGAAATACATACATTTATTTACATTGCGTTTAATTCATGATTATTTATAACAAAAGTCTTAAAATGATAGATTTTTCATATTTAATATATAATACGAGTCATATAGTGATTACATTTTTTCGCTAATTGTTACACAAGAGAATAGATCATTTAAATCTCTGTTTTTGGTACAATTTCTCTAAATGAGAACATTCACCTTGTAAACATCTATAATACATGATACTTAACAATTAAATTTTACACTGGAATTTAAATTTCTAGATTATAAATAAAATTTCTGAAATACGCTTCGCAAACTAATCTGAATTTCGTTACCTAACAATCCTCTTTACGCGCTTTAAAGTAATCGGCAATCTATAATAATATACAGATATACATATAATATCACAGCGAATGTGATATTTAATTCACGTGACTGCGTATATATTACGCTTCGATGGGCTGAAGTCTTTTTCAGTTGCACGCGCAGCGTTTTTTTGCGAGGGTGAATATTAAATTCTCGCGATTGCATTGACGCGACGGGCTGAAATCTCTTCCAGCTACAACATTTTTCGCGAGTTCCTCTTTTTGGCATGCGGCGTGCCATCGCGCGGAAGCGCGAAGGAACGGCGAGGAACGGCGAGGAACGGCGAGGATACGCGTGCTAACCGGCGCGGCGACCCACGCGCTCGCGAGGCCGAGGGGAGCACACGGTCGGGTCAAAGAGGCCAAGATAAATTGCAATCTAATCCGCGGGAGTAAGCCGGGGCCAATTACGATTCGTTGTGCGTCCAGTGCGTCCACACAGGAAGAGAGGAGTGGCGCCGTGCCTGGGGTACGACGCGGCGGCGTGATGTACACCTCCCGCCTCCGAGGCCTTGCGGCAAATGCCGATGGTAAAATCCGCGTCTCTTCTTTTAAAACGCGCCGCCGAGGAAACGGCGAAGATCTACGACATCGACCGATCAGGATCGACGGCAACCCTTCATCGAGTGCCCGCTTAGAAAATCGTATCATTTTATGCAAATTTTGATATTATTATGAATGATTGCCATGATTTTATATACGTGTAATCTCTATTCATAATCCTTACACGCAATAAATCAAATTGTTATTATTGTTATTGTTGCTGTTGTTATTAAGTGAGAATTATTTCGAATTATTAGTAGATTATGTGTTATCACACACGATGGATCGATGGATACGACGCACTAATATTTATTTAAAAAATGACAAGATTATATATTGTATTATAAGAATCGGGAAATAAAGTAAAATTGATCGAAACATATGTAACATAGTAAATAAAAATTTAATATCGATTAGATGAATAATCGTGATAAAAATTTAGAAATTTATTTTCAATGTAACATGTATTAACTTTAACGTAGTAAAATTATTAAATAATATACACGGTGAGTATTTGAAATAATCATAGAGGAAGCTCTATAACTAATTGAACGTATGTGTATGCATCAATGAAATTTATTTCGTTTAACACACGTACACAGCAACGAAAATGTTTAATTCAATTTTGAAGGTCTACTAACAATAATGGGTACACTGACTGAATTTCTTTCTGAAAACTGTCACAGATAGCGTTCCGCACGACGGCCTCGTTGAACCGCACATCGCGCAATTCAATCCGCTCCTGACGGAACATCGTGGCGCGGAAATAGTGGGGGATTCGAAGATTAGAGTTACTCCTCCGCAAGCCGAAACTTCAGTTTAGTTTACTAGCGGTTCTCGCCTCGAGTCGTATCCTCCGCCGCAGCCGGCACATGGAAACGTACGCGGCCGCCGAAAAGTAAAAAAGAGGAACGTCAGCGAGAGAAAAAGAAAAAAATAGCGAAGCTCGCGCGAATCACACGAAGCGATGATGTGAAGCGGCTGCGGCCGACACGGAGGAAAACAAAATCGCGAATCGAGAGGAAGAGACGTATTTTCGAGCTCGTTCGAGCTTCTTTCGCACGCCGAGTATATTCGTTTCAACTGGAGGATCTGCAGACGGCACATAGAACGAAATTTTAATATGCGCTTGTGAGAAGTTTCGTCGAGGAAAGTTGCGAACAGGTGAGCGTTCGTCTGTCGATGCTTCGCGCGAAATATCAAAAATCGATGTTTATTTTTAACAATGTAGATTAACTTTAATTTTGCTTTAACTTAAGCCGGGAAACACAATGCATTTTTTCATCGTGTAGAATGCTTGCGCTGAAAAAATATTTTTACTAAATTTTAATAAATATTTATACTGTTGAATACTATTAACTAAATATTTATTAAATGTAAACATATATTTATTTGGTAAAAGAAGACCATTCATTTGATTTAAACATCATTTTTTTATTGAATAAATATTTATTTACTAAGTAAGTATACGTTAAGTCAGTACTATTAAAACAAATATTTATTAAAATTAAGTAAATTTTGTTAGTTTAATTGCTAGGATAAATTCCTAGAATTGTACTAACAAAACGCAGAATTTCTGGTGATTCATTAAAACGCAAGGAATTTAGAAGGAAAACATTCATTGTGTGCTGCAGCCTTTACTCTTTATCTTTTTCTAATTTTTTCACTAGAAAGAGATAAACAGTAAGTTAAACCGAAGTTAAAGTTAATCTACATTAATAGAATTAATTGGTCTCGAAACGATTTTTCGGTGTATCATTTGATCTCTTAAATATAGTAACTATAATTCGATAAATTTTTATACATATTCTATTTTTTCACATTACATTATTAACTTTTAAATTACTTTTTTAATATGTTATATATATATGTGTTATTTTGAGAAATATTATAATTTATTTTATAATTGGAAAATTTTAATTTTACATTTATCCAAGTATCTTTCATACGGTAAAGAAAAACATTCAAAAATATTTTTTTAAAGTAGAGAACAAACATTATAAATTCTATGATATAGTTCTCTTTACAAATATATAATTATGTAAAATTCATTCATTACGCGAGATGTCAAATTTGGAATGCACGTGATATATATTAAACCAATGTTAAATATTTTCGTACGCACGCGACGCGGATAATAGACGCCGAGAGATCGAAGGTCCTTTTAATAAGACGTAAACTTCTCTAATCTTGTATACGTATACGTACATATATAGCTATAATACCTATTGATACTGACACAGTTAGCCGCACTATCATACATGACGCACACTCTACCAAGTTTTTTAAAACGTCATCACGGTACATGTGCACGAATCTGTATTTACATAAAAAAAGAGAATTGCAACTCTTTAAAAATGAAAAATCCTTACATGTAAATATTGACCATTGATTGAAACTTATCAATCAAAAAAAAGTAGCGTGTCAATAAGCTTGTTTTCTTCTTTCAAGTAATTCTGCATCTTTGTTAGATGTTCGCGTAATGCCTTTTTGTATTCAACAATATTTGTTCGAACCTATAGAAAGTTAAAGTTTATCGAAAATATTGCTCGTATAAAGAATATTTAACGTAATTTTTTTAAATGTTATCTGACGTCACAGATCGCAGAGTTTGTTATGCTCTTGTTATGTCTTGTGATTATCGTTCTTCGACTCGTAATCGCTCAAGGCAATGCTCCGACAAATACGCTTATAATTAAGAATAACCCTTTATTTCATTAAATTCTTGGAATTTTTTGATATATCAGTTAGAATTTCCTTCTCTTAAAAATAAATATTTAGAATGTACATATTTAGCATTTTAAATTTTGAATTTTTTTTTCTCGCGTGATTTTTTTATTGGAAAGTTTTTAATATATATCATAAGATACCAAGCTTAATCTAATTTGAGACTTTATAAAGTTGCGAAAAATATATTTGAAAAAATACGCGGCCCAAGATTAATAGTATATACCTTCAACAAAACCGTCTCGCCGGTACTAAATTACCCTCTGGCAGGGCGCCAGAACGGTCGGTGTATCATCTCGTTTTAAAGAAATTAAATTTCGGATTTACGTGGATCTGTTACGATGGAAAACGCATCTTAACGAACGTAACGTTGTTCTTTTTAACACGTCTCTCGTGTATGCGTGTGTGTGTGTGTGTGTGTGTGTGTGTGTGTGTGTGTGTGTTTATGAATAGATTTTAAAACGATGCGACCCCTCGCGCGTTTTTCTTCATGCGCCTGTACAAAGAGGTCGTTTCTTTCAAAAATTCTCCGAGGTTGTCTGTTTATATCTTCAACATATCTTCCTGTGGACTTCGATAAGATTCGTGTGTCCGAAATATTCTCGAGATAGCCTCGTTTTTCTAACGAGCGAATGCTCGAATGCCAAAATTGAACTCTTATTCCGAGACGGTCATATAGAAATTTTACATTCTAAGTAATTAGATTTATTTTATATTGCTAAATAGATTTTTAATATAAAAAAGCATTTAATTTATTAATAATAAATGTTAGTTTACTATTTTTATTAGTACATGGCAAATTATTTTTTTGTTTAGAATTATTCATTTAATTGAATTATTTATAATTTATTTAAATATTAATAAATTAGTAACATAAGAATTCAATAATTTGATTAATCATAATGTTATTATAAAAAAAAAGTAATAACTTTATTTCTTCTCTACATCAGTTATTTTGTTTCACTCGATCGCTTGAAAGTCCAGGATGTGTAAACGCTCTTTTATATCTGAATGGTAAATTCACGGTGGCAAATGTCCGCAGCTGTGGACATTTTGTTGCGTAAGAAATAACTGTATCTATAGTCATCCACTTTAATATTGTATCTTCAAACGCCAACCGCGTTAAATGATCAAAGATGAGTGCAACGCAATCGTTGCACCAGCGATTCCTCCGCGTGAGATGCGTGCAGGCGGCAGATACGATTAGTAGACGCGAAATCGAAAGCATCACGTAGTGCGAGAGCAGGGTCGGATCTAAACGATAGGCACAACGTATCGTGATGTGCGAGACATCAAGGACTTGCGAGTGAATTGTTTATCGCAGACAATAATTATGTAAACGCAATTTGACTCGGGAATTAACCGAGCCGCAAGGAGTACGACAAAAGGATCATACATGTAGATTATACAAAATATAAGAGATCGATGTAACAGATTTATGAAAATAGAATACGTGTTGTGAAAATATCACGAACGGATATAAAGCTCAGAGATTAAAAAATATTATTTCATATATCTATTCATAAACGTACATCTATTCAAGCGGGAGAGGAGGGAGGGTGGGAGGGGGGGGGGCAGGAAAATCGCTTGTCTTTCTTTTCTAAAGAAGGAAAGAAAGGAAGGAAAGCAATTATAAATTGTAAGATTTATTTTTACGATAAAAAATTGAACATTTATTACCTAATTTATGGCTCATACATTATTCGTAAGAAAATTCGCTCAAAATCTCGAAGCTTTATAAGTATTTTTATTACTGTCACATATGGATACGCGAGGTCGTTTAATTCTCTACCTTTATTAATTTCAATTATATTTTAAAGAAGACTCGGATGAAGACTCGGAAGACTCGGCCGAAATATGTAAAAAATTGTTTTATTTATAATTATATTTATTTTTATATTATAAATTAATTTTTTAGCGCACAAAGTACTACGCTCGACTCTTATTTGCACTTCCTTTTTTGATTAGATCGGTTACTAAGAGTCCAATTAATATTTATTATTTTAATAAGTTTCGAAGATAAATTTTCCTCTCTTCCTCTGATCGAAATCTTGGATACATCCATGTATCTATACTGATAAAACTTTAAATCTTTCTTTAATTGTGACTGAATTAAGGAAATTGATCGATTCACATAGATATTTTCTCAGTTTTTTTCACTGCGCACTAAGCAGATTTTTCTGCTGTATTTACGAATGTAATATTCACTATTTTTATTTAGCATTATTAAGATCGTTCTATAAGATAAAAGCATCAAATTGTTAAATTACTAGACAATTTAATTCATGATATTACTGCGATAGTTTAGTAAAGTTTGCGTTTCAAGACCGAAAAATCACTGGCGCACAGTTTAAAGGACTACATAGGTATATATAAATTTATACAGAATTGTACAAGAACTTAAGATCCAGCCAGATCATTTAAGGCATTATTTCCTATCGATTGTGTTCTTGCATAAGAAGGCATATGCAAAGTAAGTTGACGAGTCTCCTGGAGATTCCCTATTCTTTTTTTTTGAATATGCTTTTTAGGTCCATGAATGCTTTTGATCATAGCTTTATCATATATATCATATATAATATTTTGGAACGTGATACTAAACAATAATACGTCATCAATTAATAAAACTAAATTAATTATTTAAAATATTGCATAATGTTACAGCAATGTTTTATAAAAACAATCTTTCAAAGTAACATTGCTGCAATATTGCTACAATTATTTCATATTGTACGGATGTACATATAAAATACAATACGTAAATATTATGTACGAACACAATGAAATTGTAAATAAATACTTGTACATAAAATTTATTTATTCTGAAATCTTATACTACAATTAATAATAGGTATATTTAAAGTATCTAAGTATTTTTTCTAGTATCTGTACTGGTACGTAGGTACATTTTTTTCAGAGTACTTGTACATGTATCTGGATGCTGAGAATAAAGTACCCGTACAATACTGATAATATTAATGCTCTGCAATGTGCTCGGTGTGCATGCAGTGTTTCTGCAGCGCCGATCCTGAGCGAGAGCTAAGCTGCGTGCAACGCGCTTTCATCGATCCGCTGGGATGCATCTGATTTAATAACGATCTCGACGATTTCACGACGCAATTTCGCGGCACAAAAGGGAGTGAATCGCCACGCGATTAGACGTGTAGCATCTTTTCCGCGCGGCTTAACCCGCTAATCGAGGTAGATCCCCTCGTTTTCCGACGCTCGGAGAATGGAATACGAGAATCTCTCGTGCAATATTCCTGAATGCATTTCGATGCTAGACTTCTCTCTGGAAATCCGAGACGGTTCCAGTACGATCCGCTCTGACGTGAAAAATCATCTACGCGATAATAAAATTCCAAGCGCGTATCATCGCTGATCGCTCGCGCGTGTCTGCTCTCATGGAAACGAAAGCGTTTTGAGAGACAATCGAGCCATCGAGCGGTACGCGATTCGTTAATCCGTTAATGTACCATGCCATTTCCCAGAAAGGTAAATCATTATGAAAGCGGCGGGCACATCCGCGCTATCAAAGTCCCCGTATCCGGTAAAAGTCTACGTGCGCTCATCCGTTTCTTTTTTCAAACTCTCGGAATTTACCACGAGGTTAACGGCTCATCCTCCCGTCGAGCCAATGTCCGAACGCTTAATTGTGTCCCGGTGATGTGCAAGTGACCAACTCTTAATTAATCAATTTCGAAATTATCCTTAAAATCTCGGGACACAACAAAAAAATCGAAATTTTTTTTTCATTAGTATATGTTGGATTACAAAAACACCTTATTATTAATTAAATTTAATAAATTAAATGTATGTTTACATATATAGCTATAACGAAAGTAAAATATTTATTTATTAATAAAATCAATTAAAAAGTAATCAAACAATAATCTACTACTGCAAGTTAATCATGATTAACTTAATCTGAGAAAAGAGATCTGGTGAAAGAGATCTTTAGGCTTGATTTTTTATTTACTAGTTAACTTATGATTATAACGTATAAATTATATTTTTCCATCTATAGTTATAATAATCACTAAACTGATGATTTTGTAGTGAATAACTTTTTAAAGTTACCATTAGTTTAGTGATTAATTGTACCTTATATTTGTACATACATTATCATCAAGTTAAGTGAGATTAAGTCTTAAATTTAAAAACAAGTTAATCAGATAATGAAAAGTTGGGCTTTAATAATATTTATGTTAATATATTTACAATGATGTTATGATTATGTTAATATATTTACAAAATGAAAACTGAATAAATCTTATCGAAAGAGAAAGAGTTCCTCTCGGAAGGCAGACGACGACATTGTACCTCATTTTCGCGACGTCGCGTCGTTGTCTTCTGTGGAGGACAAATCGCGCAAGCGAGTGTCCTCACAAAGAAATTGCGACGAACGAAGAGAGAAAAAAAGCGATCGCGTTTTGTCATTCAATGCAAAACAGGTGATTCACCAACCGCCGTCACATCTGATGAGACGCGGGGACATTTTTGAAAATAATAATTCATCTCTTCCTTTTGCAGACACGTCGGTTGAGAGAGTAAAGGACCGAAGGACGGGAAGATAAAGGCTGGAAGGACGGGACGGCCAAGAAGACACGAGAATGAGATACAAGGTGAGACACGACGTGCTTCCTCATCCGAGTAATGCTAAAGGAGACAAACGTGTCGATAGGGACGAGGATAAGCCAGATTCAGGCGAGCCATTGTGCCCGACCGTTTCATCAAGATTCCATTAAAATTCAGCCGACTATTCCTTAGCCAATTTGATGCCGGCTTTTCTTCTCTCGCTACAATGTAAAATCCACGAATTTATTTATCTTTCAAATACGTGCGCGATTCGACGATTTTTCAAGATTTTTCTGCAACGTCGTTACTGTCGTATGATAAAAAAAAATTTTTTGTTTTTTTTTTATTTAAAAAGAAAATAAAATGTGATTTATATTCTTTGATTATTTCTTCCTAATAAATCACAATCGTCAGAAATTCGGGTTTTCAAACTGCGTTGCGCAAAATCTCGTGGAATCACATCGTGAATAAAAATTAAATAAATTAATCAAATGAATTAATGATTTCATTTAATTAAGTAATTAAATAAAGAAGTAAAATTAATTAATTAATTTAATTCAATTTATTCAATAAGTTTTGAACAAAGACAAGTTTCTTAGGAAGCAGCAAGATAGATTTTGCGCTTTTTAAGCGCGTGATGCTATATGATGCTTGAAAAGTACAGCATATTTTTTAATTATTGATACTTGGAAAGATTCTTATTGTCATATTATATTATTGTAAAAAAATTTGACATTTCTTGTTTCATTTATTGATAAATTATTAACAAAAATGGAATATTTTAATAGTTATTTGTCAGAGAGAATAAGTAACATCTTTTTCTTTTGTTTCGAGAAATTTTATTTTACCGAACATTTGCTCGATGGAATAATTATTCGTGTCATGTACAAAGACGCAGATCGGCGGGGGGGGATCACGCAGTAAAGTGGCGTCGACAGATAAAATCGTCTCCGAATTGAAGAGCAGAGTATTTGAAATTTGAATTTGCAAATCGTACATGTTCATGTATTAACTCGTCTCGTTTTACATTCGTTTCGCGTCGGAGGAAGTCAATGCGCAATTGGAAGTGTGATTTATTTAAATTTATTTCCAACTAATGAATAAACGTCGAAAGGTCTTGCTTCATCGACGACGCGGATCTTTGTTTACGAGAAAGAGACATTTGTCCTCGTCGAGAATTAAGAACTTAATTCGCGGAATCCGTTCAAAGCTCCTCTTTCGGACTTGAAAGAGAGAGATCAGTAAAAAATGACAATGACATAAATAATGACAATTATAGAAGTATCGATCGTAATTTGCATACGACGCTTCTACCTGTCGTTCTATCTGTGTTAACAGTTTCCTTCTTGATCTTTCGTCTCACTTTGCCATCAGCATCCGCGTATATCTCGTTTTTCTCGACGGCACGTGTGCCGATCTCTACATTAAACATAAGGCATCTACGCATCTAAACTGTTTTATCACCGCGTACTATGGACAAGGTGGGGCGATCCAATCTGCGCAAACAGTTGCAACTTGTTTTACGGTTATTTTTATACGAATGGAAATGATCGAAGCGAATGTTCGCGCGATGTTAATTCCAAAATACAACATCTTCGAAGTACAATCGTATTCGATTTTTCAATCAATTTAAATGAAAGTGCATTCAGTCGATCACTTTTTGGCAAAGAACAAAATCTTGAATCATTTTTTTATCATTTTTTGTCACAGTGCAAAATGATGAAAAATGATTGTAACTTTTCCAATTTTGGTCTTTATCGAAAAAAAATCAAACGAATATATTTTTGTCAAAGTGGAATTTAATTAATGGAGGATTAATTAATTAAAATGTGCATTAAAAGCGGAAATTGTTTTAAGAATTTTCTGTAATTTTTAGATTGATTTTTAATGAATAGTAGCTTGCAGCTACTGTTATTTCAGATATTTGAAACTTTATCGTTAGATATTAAATAAATTTTATTTCTGCGCGATTGTGGATTTTCGACCTGCAATCGATCAATCGATTTTTTCTTCGATTAAATCCAATTAAGAGGAAAAAGTAAACTGCCGTGTTCGATTATACTTCGTTAGAAATCACAAGTAGTCGAACATTGCTGCAGCCAATTCTGGTTTTCTTACTTGACGGAAAAAGAGGTCAATCGCGTGCAGGTGAAGGATAATTAAAATAAGACCAGTTGCTAACATCGAATATCACTTGATATTATTCGTGCTCGAGGCAGATAAAGCGATGCCATTTACGGCGATTATCTATTATTCCCTTTTGCGACATGACTACGCAGTTCACGCATTTTTTTCTTTGGTTTTTTAATCGAATGGTTTCTCCAATTAGAAATGATTATAAATAACGCTGCAGGTAAAAAAATGTACTATCGAAAATTGAGATTGAACTATGATTTTGACGCTGCTAGCTTTTTAAATGTTTGGACAAATAGTTCGGATCATTTTTATCAAGTTCTTTTTCACATAAACGATCGCGTTTATCCTCTATTTCTTCCGCTCGTCTCTGTGATCCGTTCGTCTTGTCTAATCGGCTCGTCCGCTATCTATGCGATACGGGTCGCGTAACTCGCACATTGCCTCCGTATTCCAGCGAGATCGTCACAGAAGCGATTCTTCGATAGTGAAAAATAAGGCTGAAGAAGTGGAGCGTGCGGACACGATTCGCGAGCGAGCGACCGGCAAGTTGAGATTCGCTCGAGAAATTTTAGTCAATGGCAAGAAGAGCACTTGAAGCGAATTCCACGAAGCCCTTCCCCGGAAGCTCGTTAAACAGCGTTTACGGCTCGCGTGTCTCAATCGCTGCGTCAGAAATATATCAAATATCAGTCGCTTAAGTTAACTGATGTACAAACGGATTATCATTTGTTCTCTGTTTTGGCTGGAGACTATACTTACTGTGAAGTAGTCCAGCTACGATAATCGATCAAGATCTGCAAAAAACCGGGACGTCGATTCTATACCTACAATCTAGCGTGACTAGAACTGGAAAAAGAGTCTGTCTGCATTAATTAGAATTCTGGTTGAAAATGAATAATTGGAATTTTCTGGTTGAATCTATTATATTAATTAAGAGAAATACATCTATTTTCACTGAAAGCGAATCTTAGCGCGTCGAAATCTTTTCAATCACTTGAAACGCAATCATGAGCAGAACTAAAGTAATAACATTACATATATATTAAACTGACAAGCAATTTAATGATTTTTTTATGATAAATAAGATGCTTAGATTAGCATCTTAAATTATTAATATTCTTCCAAGATTCTTATTTATATATAAAAAAATGATTAAATTGCTTTTCAGTTTAATATGTAATGTTATTACTTTAGTTCTGCTCATAATTTCAAGATCAAAAAGATTTCTTAATAAGAACTGTAAATAATTTATAGCAAAAGATATTGTCTTAGCCGAAATCCAAACCTAGATCTTCCGTGCATATTCCGTGTTGAACCCATTACAATTCTAATTGAGATAGAATTAGAACTTTTATACGATCAGAATTTTCTGATTTATTTTCAATTATTATAGTAATTTTTCTCAGCGAGGGGGATTCATGAAATTCTATAAGATTTTGCGAAAGTACAGAAATTTATAGAACAGTTCGAAGTCGGGGAATGAGATCGGGAATAATTTCAACGAACGCGTGCAGCTCGCGTATAAATAAAAGAGACGGAGAAAAAATGATATCGTCAAGTTACGGTCGCTGATGCCAGAAGTCACTGACCACCTTTACTACTGTAATTGTATTATCAAGTAATAGGGCGATAATGGGTTTCAAGCATCAACAGCCTGGCATTTACGATCTCCTTACATTCGTGTCGCTGATAGGATCTTCTCAATGGAGCATTCAGGCGCTCCACTTGCGAAATATCAGAACGCGTGAAGCTGTGTATGGACCCCATACGTGTCAGTCACTTTTGAAGGTAGCCTACTGGGTGTCATCTTCCCCGTGGAGCTACATTTTGCAGTATCAGTAATCGATTAAAAAATAATTTTGTCGCTTGTTAGGCTTATCATTATCCGTTGGATAAAAATCGCGAATAATATTAAAAATAATTATCGCGCTTTCTCGAGAGTCGTTGAAGGATTCTTGGTCTTAAAGTTCCTCAAGTAAAAATTTGAACATCGTCCGTCACACATACTTTCAGATAACTGAAATGATTTTAATCACTATGGTTTAATTAATATCTATGCAATTTAATAATACATAAAAATACAATAAAAATGGATTTAATTTAATTCAATTCATTATATTATTATTATCATCATAACAAGTAAGATAAAATAAATAATAGTAGAATGTAAACTTCTTTGCAATTTGTCTGAAACATATGATGGATCAAATAAAAATCTAAATAGCGTCTAAACTCTCACTTCTATATTCTCTTTCTCTATCTGATTTGTTTTAATTTTGAAACACACTACTTTTCAACGCGATATCTTCATATAAACATATTAAATGTATCTTTTTGGAATAACTAAACGAATGAGATGTTATGGTACGTTCATGTTGTATCTTTTTGCGTGAGGAAACGATCTAAGAAAAATACACTCGCCTCTCAGAACAGACTGCGAACATAAACGAGAATAATGAGTCGGTCGAGACGTTCGTTGTAGGAGTCTCTTGGTGAAGGAGTTTCTTAAGACAACGACCCACGATAAACTGGCCAAATTTCTAAATTGAGCCGTTTATTTTAGAAGTGACACGAATTACAAATATTTGAGCGTACAATTAATTTACACATATGCATAAACTAGCGTTGGAATTTGAAAAGCTTCTCTAATGCCCATTTCCACCAATGTAAAAGTTAACTTCAATCTCAATTTAACTTATACTTTTCGTCTTTTTTTTTAGTTCTGATATCCATTTACCGATGTAGGTTAATTTTAATCTCAGTTCAATTAATTTTTCATCTTTTTTTAGTTCTAAGAATTATAAAATGATGAAGAATAAATTAAACCGAGATTAAAGATCAACATTTGTATAAATTGGTATTAATAAGTAAGTCTGTGATTCAGCTTTCGCTTTACATTTTTTTATTTCCATGAATCGTATAATTTCGTTGAAATGATATGGGAAAAAGATTGAATTGCGTGCGCCGGGTTCTAGTTGTTTATCGCTTTGCTGTCGCATCGGTTGCGGAAAGGATCTATTAACGTGACGTAAAGTATTAATTACGCGATATCCCGCAACGAGACAAAGGTGAGGGAGGCCGACGCGAAGCATTATCCCGTCGAGAGATAATCGGCGATGCATTAGTGAAATCAGTCATCATCTCGCCTGCAATGATTGCATCTAAGGACGACGGGAAGAGGAATTCTTCGCGATGCGCGAACGTGAGCCAGTTCAGCGAGTACTTCCTCTATCGAGATAAATTGCGATACCATCAGCAATCCGTCGCGAAACCCAATGTCAGACGCGGTGTGCTAATTGCTCAGTTGATGGAATTTACATCCTCAGCCTCCTTTTGGCTCGACATTAAGATCTTACGCCACACAAGGATAACATCATTTCAGAAGCAACGTTGATCGGATGATAATTACCGGATTGCAAGGACGCGAATCGGAAGTGGATGATGAGGCCGATGACAATTACCGACTAGGCCACCTGTGAATGATCAGCTGAATGGAAAACATTTATCGTGATGAATATGTCACTTTCGTATGTCCTCCTTAAATTTCTGTGATTTTTTCCGCGCTATCATGATGCGATAAAGAATTCTCGTAACGACGATTGAACACGAGGGGTAAAAAGCAAAACAGACATTCTATGATCGTGCATTACTGCCTGCATTAAGTACGGTCATTAAAAATTAGATTAATTGTCTCATTACGACGAGGGGAATAGGAAGAGGAGATAATACATATTGTATATCGCGTAATAAAAGTCGCGTTGTAATAAAAGTCATATGTACTCTGTTTTTGAGAGAAAAGACTTTTTACTAATTTTTTTCTTTTTATAACGATTGAATCTCTACATTAGAAAATAATGAATGAAAAGGATGTTCAATATTTAGATTCACGATCTATTACAGCTGATCGATTAATCGATTGTTAAATGCAGAAATGACTCTTTTCCACTTTGACTCAGAATTTAAATTAAAGGGAAGAAGAGAAATAAACAGAGAGAATAACTAGAAATAACTTGGATTCACAGCGCAATGGTATTACAGAGAATCGATCTGTTTACTCGGACAGAGAAAAAGGAAACTAGAATAAAATAGATAAATGATTGCGTAAGTTCGTATGGTTTACATGATAGACAGATGAGAGAGAGAGAGAGAGAGAGAGAGAGAGAGAAAGAGAGAGAGAGAAGAGACAAGAAAAAGGCGCCAGCGTTTCTCGCATCAAGCCTGCCGATTCGATAGATTGCAGCACATAATGGGAACATTGTCGAAGTCAAACACCCACCAATGTGTCTGTACAACACGCGGAAAATCAGATTCTCGCATCTCGAGTAAACATGAAGCTAGCTGTGTAACTTCCCGAGGGCTTAAGACCGATTTCAGCAACATCAAACAACATTAATCACGTTTATCTAAATTCTTTATCTACTATTGTGATTAATTACACGATCCAGTAAGAATCAGTTAAATTATAGCAGAAAGCTATTAATCTACGTAAAATCTGTCTTGAGAAAAGAAGAGGTACTTTCTCAATTCTTGAAAATTTCTTTTAGATCCAGTATCTTCTGATTTAATATGCTTTCAATCTTAGAAATCTTGCAAAATTATATTATTCAAGTTAATAATGCGATACGTAATAAAAAAAAAACCTTGCAAATGTAAGTATTAAAGGTACATTGTATGCATTAATTACAAAACGATAAAAAATGTAATCGTTAGAATCATCGGCAGTGAAAGGATTAATAAAGTAATATGAAACGAAAGGAGATGCCTTAGAAACGTGCTTATTAACGAAAATAATCAGAAAAGACAGAAGAAAGCGAGATACGTACTGTTTCATATTGGAGTCGGTTGTGTCAACTTTATACTTCATTAATTTTAAATTAAATGTTTTTTTTCTGACAATCTAAAGATTTGTGATGGAGTACACGAGGAACATTTAGTCGGCCATAATTAATCAAAGTTGGTGAAGCGGAATGATTTAGGAATTAGGTCGTCTTAAATTCTTATTTGTTTTGGATGAGTCATTAAAATTTTTGATTTGTCAATATTATAATTGAAGAGTAATTTAGAAATAAGTGATAAATAATTGAATTTAAGATTGGTTGAGTCTTGTTTTACTACCTCGGATGTTAAAAAAGATTATTTTTTATGAAAATATTTAAAAAGTTGTCTGGTATTAAAAATAGAAAAGCAAAATGCTGTTATGTCAATTAACTCCAAAGTGATTTTAATCAAGTTTATCTTATAACATTTAATTTATTATTCCGACTGTAAGACAATGATATAAAATGTCTCCTCGACCCAATAGAATTTTTGTACGGAAAGACAATGCGTTTTATGAGATCGTTCGAGTGACTATACTACATGGTTTAAATCGGCGAGGTATCATCATCCGTCGCGGCGTTAAAACCGTATGATCGATACACTCACCTTGCCCCAGAATCGGGATTAAGCTTACAGTCATTATTCTCCTCGTGCCCAATATCCTGCCAGGCGATCCTCATCCTATTAAATCCGAAACCATCGAAATCGCTATTCGCGACAATGACGTGGCAAATAAATGAAAAAACGACCTTACGTAAGAGCCAAACGCGGAATTAAACATCGAAGCGCACGAGAACGCTATTGTTTGGACGCACATCGTTCGCACGTAAATCTATCAGCATTCCTCCATTTTAAGTTACATTTTTAGTATACTCTATTTTTAAATACACTTTGTCATTGCTCACTTTAAAATTGCCGTTATAGAAAATAAGTTGAAGAAATTATTTATCACGCTAATAAAACAAAGAATCTTAAATTTTGTAACGTTAATAGGCACTAACTGCTATTTTTAGTAAAATCGAATCAATATTTTAATAGATAAATAATATTAAAAATTTTTTCCACAACTTTTTAAATCTTGATTTGTTTAAATCTAAAATTTTCTATGAGGATTTTCAGTAGAATTTTTATTCTCTGCTTAGAATGCAATTCAAGAAAATCGAGTTATCTGTTTTCAGTGAATTCGCTCTCGTAGAGTCACTTCAAGGTCCCTGCAAACTTATGCGAGATGCATCTGTTTTAATTGCACTTTGATCTCTCACATTTTCATGGCACGAAGCGCAGAAATCAAGTCATAAGATATTGCTTCTTTGTTAGATCAAAGTAGCTTTGCGGTGCGCTAACGTTTCGTTACTTCGAAGTTAAATATAATGTTGCAGATGCAACGATAGACACATTCTTCGACAGCACGCTCGTTAGTATTAATAGAGTAAAATATGAAGAAATGGACAGTCAGTTATTATAAAATATATGTCATTATTTTTCTTTTGAAGGTGAACGATCCGGAGGATAATGAGAGAGACACGGTAGAGAACGCGAAAGGAAATTCGGACGTCTCGTGGTAATAAGGGTTCTCTTTACTTATAAAAAAGAATCAATAACATTTTCTTACTTTTTATTTTTCTTATTTTAGATTACTTGCTATTAATTGCTTATACTATAATATACTCTTTAAAAACAAGTCTATTAAACATATAATTACCTTTAAATACTGTTTTGTGTTTTTGTGAATCTTTCAAAGGTTTTATGAAACGCTTAATGGAATAATTATTTGTTTAAATTTTTCTTCTTTTCTTCTCTTTCAGTCACAGTACGTACAGTTACGTATTTGTCATATAAAATAATTTTGCTGATTTGTAATATTGTTTCAAGTATGTATATATCAATGTCAAAAACGCAAGTCTCCGAATACAGACTGGAAAAGCTTTAAATGATTTTCTACAAATATTTCTTTTAAAAATGTTCTGTGTCTAATAATCTTTTCATGTAAAAAAAAGTTAATAGTGATTAATTACTTATTTTGAATATTAAAGGTACTAACGAACAATTAAATTTTTATAACAATTTCTTATGCATTTGACAAAAAATTCAACAGTAAACAGTCATAAAATATTAATTGTTATATATATGCAAAAAAATCATGTTGTCAAATTATAATATGTTGCAAAGTTTCATTGTTGGAATCTTTCCATTGTTTTTCCACAGGAATTACAATCAGCGAGATGAAAAGAAATCAAGCGGAAAGGAGATGCGGCTCGTAATAGTCGTCGGATTGTTAGCAGTTACCGTTATCGCCCTTATCGTGGCACTAACTTTGCAAATGGCAGTCTTTCGCAAAGAAGAATACAAGGAGATGTGTCAGAGCGAAGAATGTATTAAGACAGGTATCTTTTATAAACGCTCTATTATATTTTCAAAAAATAAGTAAATCAGGAAAATTTCTTCATTCGAAAGAAAGTGCCAAGATAATTTGTTTCATTTAAATTATGATTATGCTGAAATGTCAGATAATTTCACGGTAAATTTACTTCTGTTATCATAGCGGCGCGAGTGATAGGTGGGATGAATAGATCCGTGAATCCCTGCAAGGATTTCTACAATTTCGCCTGCGGTGGCTGGATCAATAAACATCCAATTCCACAAAGTCAGAGCTTTTGGGACCAACTGAGTTTGCTTAGGGAGAAACTTCTAGAAAATTTAAGGATTTTACTTGAGGAACCTGATAAGGAGAACGACCTTAGGCAAGTGAAACTGGCGAAAGCTCTTTACAGGACCTGCATGGATGTCGGTAAGTTTTAAGAATAGAATTATTAAATAAATTGGTGAAATATTTTTGAAAAAAAAATTTTTTTAATTTGCAGAAAATTTTTTTTGTAAATTATTTGATAAGAAAATAATTCATGGAATAGGTGCACTATAAAAATAATAGCTTTAATACGCAGCTAATAATACGCAGTTCCTAAGAATATAAAAAAAAAATGGTATCAAAATTATAAATTAACAATATTAAAATAAAAATAAAAATAGGGATCGCTTATATGAATAAATCAAGTACGAGAAACGTCATTCATATGATCAAAGTTAAATGGCAGAATGATACATTTATACAAAAAATAATTTTTATATCTGCAAATATATGCGCATCGATTACAGCACAATCCAATTAAAATAATAATATTATCCTAAATTGAATTAGGAAGATTATAAATCTTATTATTAAAAAATCACATCTATTTAAAATACGAAGCATTTTTTAACAGGAAAATTTTTCGAGGAAAAAGGACGATGATTATTATTTCCACGCGAACTAATTCTCTATCAAGATTTTCTTTCGTTAACTCTATAATTTACCTGCTTCGACAATAAATTATTCATTAATTATTGCTCTTTCGTGCAAGAACGGAATGTGCGTAATTGCATTTACATAAGCATAAATTTGAAAGAATAAACTCATCTAACAATACATTGCCGTTCGCATTGCGACGTATCATTACCGTAATCAATAACGTAATCAATAATAAGATGAATTGACTACTTTATTAGCACAAAGAAGTAACCGGATCTCGTATCTGCCTTCAAATAACGATTGCAATTGTAAAGCGGAAAAACCAAGCGTGCAAATGATTTAAATACTTAGAAACGATTGCAAATCTTTCTGCGTGGAAAATAGAAATAGAAGTAACGTTACGCGCAATTAAAATCAAGCTGTAAAATGTATATTTGTAGCCTTGATGTTGAAACTTATGATTTAAAATTACGGAAAATTATCGGATTGCAGCGAGTGTTGAGGCTTTAGGATTGGAACCCATCTTCGAGGCACTCAATAGTCTAGGTTTACCAAAGGAACCACCGATGCAGGATAAAATACCTTCTCTTGACATATCGAGAATGGCTGGCATAGCGCAACGAACGTTAGGTTTGAACCTCTTCGTCAATTTCTACATCAGCGAGGACATTAAGGATACTACAAAGAATGCGATGGTGGTGAGAATACATCCAAAATATTACAAATTTTAATAAAAGAAAATTTAGAATAATTCTACGAATGCAAAATTCAAATCAAGATGGAAAATAAATCTTAAAACAAAAAAATTTTTTCTTACATAAAAATTAAAAGCATATTTTAATATTTTAATATTCTTCAGAATATTTTAATATTTTTCAAAATTACATTAAACTATATTTTAGTAATATCTCGATAGACGATTTTATTTTCTACTCTAATAAAAAAAAAGCAATGATCGTTACGTCTTTTAAACACTATACATAGAATAATTTAATTCGATGTAAATAATGAAAAAAAATTATTCTGCATAAATATTCTGTACGTCTTTTTCTCGTAACATATAGAAAACGAAATTTCTTTTAGATGGAGCAAGTATCTCCTGGATTCAGTGAGCGTTATTTATTGGATCCGCGACGTTTTCAATCGGAATTAATGGAGTATAAAAAATATATAAAGTCCATGGTCGAACTAGCGGGAGCTGGTAATATGAGTGCGAATTATGCTAACGAGATTTTAGAATTCGGCACGAAACTCGCCAAGGTAAGTGGCTTGTACATTGAACTCGCAATATATTTATTCTAACATCGTGTTACACAGTGTTATTTATTAACACGTATTAATTTTTAATATATAGACTTTATATCAAAGATATAAACATATATAGATATTATATATTATTATTAATCATATATTATTATTGATATATAAATATCTTAAAATGCAACGCACTTGAGATTATCTAGTTAATGTTAATCATGATAAATTGATCTTTCATTTTTAATAAAAAGTTAATAATCAGTTGAATGTCCCGACACTTATCCTCGATTACTCAGCTTCCAATGTGAGGATAATCATTTCCAGGAATACGTTTAAATTCTTTTGAAATTCGTCCAGATCATGGCAACAAATGAGGAACGACGTGGCAAGGATCATCTCATTCATGAAGTGTCGATCGACGACCTGCAACAACTCACCGATTTACGAGCGCAGCAGGTACGCGATAACATCACTGTTTATTTTTTCATAATATTCATGGATATTACATGATAAACGACTGAAATTAAATTAATACGAGTATCTATGATATTTGCATTTTAGCGAGGAATATTTGGAAATACATGTAATTCTCATCAAAATTCTAAAATCAAATTCAAGAGCTCCGCTGGTGAATGAAGTACTATTTAAAAACTCACGAGATTATTACCAGACAATAATAGAAATAAAGAAATTAAAGTTTATCACGATTCTTATGATGATTGCACATTTTTAATCCATAAATTTACTCGTATTTGTTTTCCTAAGTTGAGTCGGGGTTGTCGGAAATAGAGCGAAATGAATCTCACTTTTAATGCACGAGTAATTAAGGGCGAGACACTGTTTCAGTGGAACTGGACAAAATACGTGAAGGCCGTGTTCGAGAACACAAATGTCACGATAAATCCGACCGTGGATCGGATTATCATCGTGGACTTGAAGTATTTGCAGCAATTGCCGCTTCTGCTATCCGTCACTCCATCCGCTACGATAGGTACGTCCAATTTTGGCACCCTCGTCAAACCGAGCACGATTGACACTTGGGGTAATGTGTGCTCGTTCAATCTGCAGCGTATATTGTTGCTTTTCCACTTGCGTCCATTTACGTCCGCTGTGTAAGAGAAGAGAGAGAGAGAGAGAGAGAGAGAGAGAGAGAGAGAGAGAGAGAGAGAGAGAGAACTACGTAATGCGGAAGCATTCTCTTTGCGCTCATACTACATACAATATATTCGAACAACTTGCAACAACCCAGCAAATAAGTTGACGTTATTTCTCGACATTTTGACGACAAAATAACGTTAAAGTTTGTCTAAGGTAGTTTTATGAAATCTTTCCTCCCAAAGATGAAATAATTGAATCCTAAAATGAATAACTTTGACTCAAAATTGGGATGATTTTGGATGTGCATTGTGTAGGCATTTTTTAAATTTGAATCAAAGTCCCGAATAGACTAAAGTTACTCTATTTTACGATAACTGAAATGACAAGTAATAAACCAATTTCCTGATAGCGTTATAAATAAGAAATCTCGTGTTTTTATATATAAATTCGCCTTATGAAAGTTTCCCTAAATTTCTCCTTTATTTACAAGTTCATCCTCGAGTACTAAAGATTATTGTTGCAATGAAGACGTTTATTGGAAGTGTCGGTAATCCATGATGGATAATATAGGATGTTTCTACAACCAGAGATAGAAAACGAATAGCTAGAAGAGGTCACCGAGAGAGATCGAAAGCTATCATATCTACAGTAATTATAAATCGCGATTGTTTCACCGCGTTAAAACCACCGATATGTATAATATAATAATAATAATACATACCAATAGTGTTAAGACAGTCGGTGTTTAATAAGGTGCCGATAAATAATATTAACATCGAGTCGATTTTTACAGTGCGATACGTTTGGTGGAGTGTGTACGCGACCGTTGCCCCTTTGACGCTGCAGAAGTTTCGCGATCTCGGCTTCCAGTTCTGGCAGAAGATCTTCGGGTTAAAGGAAAAGACCCCGCGCTGGAAGGAATGCACTGGAAATGCCAACACGAACTTTGGCATGGCGTTGAGCTACATTTATGCGCAGAAACACTTTAATGAACAAGCGCGAGAAAAGGTTCGCACATGCAATTAGTATTTTTCAAGTATTGGAAAGATAAGTCGGTAAACTGCAGCCCATTATCTGTTTAAATATAATAATTGTATTAATTTTATTTTATTATGTAATCTGTTTATTTTTTATTTTATATTAGTATTCATAATTTTTATGTCATTATTATATTTTGTTATTTTAAGTTATAAAATCTTCTTTCTTATTGTATAACTATTATGATATCTTCATCTCGATCTTCATAGTTTGCAAAGTTTCTATCACTATCTGATCCCTTTTTTTTATCTGGACAAAATTTGCCGATCTCTAATATCTATGAGGTACCTTAAAAGTGCGAAACTCAGACTGTATCCGCTATCCAATTTGCTAGCGTTTATATTGAGGATGTAACGATGATTCACTATCGTTGATTGAAAATAGGCGTTGGAGATGCTGCTGGATATTAGGGCCGCGTTCGATGAAATGGTCACGGAGCTAGATTGGATGGACGCCGGAACGAGAGCTCGAGCTCATAAAAAATTGCACGCGATGAGGCCATTCGTAGGATTTCCCGATTGGATCACGAATCCAAAGGAATTAGACAAATTTTATGAAGGAGTGAGTTTTTTCAAATTCTATCATATGTTTTCCTACAATCACATGTATATCCTAGCCCAGCTGCGGAAACTGCAATATCTGGTCTGTTTAGGTAGAGGTGATCGATGGGAAGCTGTTCGAGACTTTGCTCAAGCTAACTAATGTGGCGATGAAAAAAAGTCTCAATAATTTGCGCGAGAAGCCTGACAGGAGTAGATGGATATCGTCGGGCACGACAGTAAACGCATTTTACAGCGCGATATTAAACTCAGTCAGTAAGTGTCTTAATACCAATTTTCTAATTAATTGAATCCATCGTCGTCACTTTATAAAAATTTAATTTCATTATTCAAAAAGAGAAATACGTGATCTCTCTTTTTTTTTTAGCTTTTCCAGCTGGTATCTTACATCCTCCATTTTATGGCAACGGACTGGAGTATGTATGAACTTATATTTTAAAGCTAAGATCAAATTGTCATCTACTCATATTTTACTCGATCACTTCTTTATACGTGATACATAATCGTAATTGTTTTTTGTACGCAAGATTTTAATATTTTATATGTGTCATGTCACATTAAAAAATCTGTATTACATTATAGATTTTTAAATGTGTAAAATTCACAAAAACTATTAGGTGTTGGAATTAATTCGTAGCGTTTTACAAGTGATGGGAAGTACTTTCATTAATGTATTTTTTAATGCTCATGTGAAATAAATAACATTCTTTCATTTAAAAACGCTACGAATTAATTCCAACACCTAATATTATTAGTAATAAAATTATTATTGAATAAAATTTCGTTTACTGATTAGAAATGTCAATATTTAATTATTGTGTTGTATAATTTATTTGTTAAAATGCTGTGGATTTTAATTAAAAACGTAAAAATGTGAGCTCAAACATATACACACACACACACACACACACACACACGCGAAAATGAAATTCTTTATCATAGCCATTAAACTTTAACATTCCGCATCGCAGATCCATAAATTATGGCGCTATAGGGGCGATTATGGGCCATGAGCTTACGCATGGTTTCGACGATCAAGGTGCGTAATCAATGACGCGATATATTTACGTTGCATAATAATGGTCATTCGTCTACCTCTACCTCTTCGTTACAATGCCCGCATATCCGTATTAATATCTACAATTATGCGAATTTTCTGTGTTAGGTCGCCGATACGACGAGAATGGCAATGTACGACAGTGGTGGAGCGATGAGACATTGCGACACTATCATGAAAAAGTGCAGTGTATAATTGAACAATATAGCAGTTATCATTTGCCGGAGTTGGGCGATAATTTTACGGTAAGCATCTCGCAATAGCAACATGTCTTGGTGTTTAAAAACACCAAGAAATGTGCCAAGATGCCGATCATGCGCTTATCTATTCGACTTACCTTCTGATTTTTAGGTGAACGGTATCAATACCCAGGGTGAAAATATCGCTGATAACGGCGGCATCAGGGAAGCTTATAGGGCGTATCAGAGGCTAATTGCACGCAGTCCGAATCAGCAAGCTCTACCTGGTCTCGTTGACTACAGCAACGAGCAACTGTTCTTCTTGGGTTTTGCACAGGTAAAAAGAAAAGAAAAAATAAAGCTTGCACTTCCCAATTCTGTGAAAGTAATATAATTAATTTTTGTTCAACAAATTGTCAAATTTTCAACATTTGGTAAAAAAATCATATGATCAGATTACCTTCTTTTTCTAAGAAATTTACTTAATAAAATTAAATTACTAAATGGAGTGCAATTAAATAATAATAAAAGTTAACGCTATATATTCAATATATATATAACGCTATATATCCTATATATTCAATAATATATTACTAATGTACAAAATTAAAGTCTGTGATACACTACGCTCTTTTCTGCTGGATTATTTGCATGATACTGTGCTGGCGATCTTACTGACTGTTATGTCAAAAATTGTGTAGCCTGCTAGTCACGCAGCTGCTATCAGAACATAGTCTGAGTTCAAAATATTTTCTTCAATATGTAATAGTTAAAAATAAATGTAATTATATTTTTACAATAATACACCATAGCAACGATCTGCTCTATTTTATTCGAATTTTATCAAGTGTTTTCTGTCAAATAAATTCTAGCTGTTTCGTTACATAAAAACTGGCACCATTTGAAGTCAGTAATCTTGTCAAAAGATAGCAAGCAGAAAAAAAGCATTGTGTGTTATAGGCTTAAAAATAAAAAGAAAAGAATAAAATAAAAGAGATAAAAATATCTCATATATTACTATTTAAATACATTACAAAAACTTAATACATACATGTATTTGTATAATTGAGATTAGAGGAGAAATTTAGAATCATTGAAACAATGATTTTTTTCTTTTGTCAAACTAATAAGAAATTAATTAAATGTAATGAAGATCCATTTTGATACAAATAAAATTGCGAAGAGCTTTACACGCAAAAAAATTATGAAAATTTCATAATTTTTTTCTTATGTATAAAGCTTCAAAGAACTAAGTTAGATACTAATTTTTTCAAGGTCTGGTGCGGCAATTATACGAACGGATCATTGAAGTCCAAGGTGATAGAAGGTGTCCATGCACCAAACCACTTTCGAGTTATCGGCACGCTGTCAAACAACGCCGAATTCGCAAAGGCGTGGAAGTGTCCGCTTGGTAGTCCAATGAACCCGTCGCATAAGTGCATTTTGTGGTAGACATCTTTCGCATAATTTCGAGCAGAACGTAACGCCTAGAAACTGTTATTTCCTTCAGGCTTAATCTTTCTAGCACAGAAGAAGGCGTTGGTACAGTGATAAGTCTAAGAAATTGTAAATAGATTGATTTATAATTATAATAATAGAAACTAGTGAGTAATTTATTAAGCACTTAGGCATTCTATTCATACTCGTAAGCTTATGATGTAAATATCACACGGATGAAAAGAAATAATAACTTTTATAAAGAGACTCCTCTCACAATTGAATCCTAATTTATCCCGTTATTTTCTTCTTTTTCTTTTTTGGTACGACTCCTTTTCCCGCATTTGCTTTCTTCTTTATCTTTCTAGGTGGAGCGTCTTCATCTGTCATTGATAATTTTACTTTGTGTTTTTTGCGCGAGAAAGATGGTTCTTCAATTTTATTCAACTTTTTAATCTTCTTCGCTGGCGAAGTGATTTGCGATGCAGAATTCTCTTTCCGTTTTTTATTAGAAGGATTTATTTTGTTCGCTTTTAAGATTTTCTTCTTCTTTTTCTTAGGTTTATCGATAACATCTTCCATCTGTGATGACCTGTCCCTCTTCTTCTTTGTAACGACTACCTCTTTTACTTTCTTCTTTGAATGGTGAATATTATCTTGAGCATCTTCCAGAGTTCTCTTCTTTTTATGTTTCTTTTCTTGCGCTTTTTCTTTAGGATTTCTAATATTTGTGACTTCTAAATCCTCTTCATTTTCAATAATAACTTCCTGCTTCAATCTGAGCCTGTTCGTCTTTTTTATTTCCTTTTCTTCAGCCGATTTAACTTCTTCCTCCCGCACTAAATTTTTGTATGCTTGTGCCAAAGAAAGACAAGTAATTCTAGCACCACAATTAACGGTTTGCAACATATCCAAACTATGTCTGTTATATCTCCAAAGTTTGATTTCTCCGGAACTAGAGGCGCTAATCAATAGATCATTCATATGTGCGATACATTTCACTCTCATGCTATGCGCCTTCGTATTCATTGTATGCAGAGAGGTTCTAAGATCACAAAACTTTATATCCCCGTTCTCGAAACCGACTGCGATTAAATCGTCCTTCAAGAACTCTACGCAAATAACTTTCGAGTCAAATGTGAGTTCCTTATCTATTCCAGCCGATTCTACAGAATAAATGTAGATACTTCCATCGACAGCTATCAGATATTTTTCACCATTCGGACTCCATTTAATAATAGTTATCCGTTTAGCGCTAGATTTCAATTTGGATACCAAGTTAGTAGCATAAGCTGGTCTGCCCTTGATTAGATTCCATGTCCTAAGCACACCGTCTTCTCCAGTGGACAGTGCTAACTTCCCTGTCGGATGAATAGCCAGAGTATTGACAGCTGAGCCCTTGTGCGCGGTCGACCAGACTTTCTCCAGTTGCCAATTGCCACAACGAACAACAGTTATACTTCCGTCATTACTACAAGCGAATAAATGTGAGCCTTCTGGAGTAAATGCAATGCAATTGATAGTATCTACAAAGAAAATATAAAAATCGTTATTATTTTTGTAATAGAAATTTATATTATATAATATTGTGTAGAATAAATAAGGTAAGACAAGTAATGCATTATATTTGTAATGCATTATATTATCATTAATGTTACTTTTTTATAATAATCATTTGGTATAGCTACAATTTTTCACGATAGCAATGATAATATCAAAGTTGAAACACTTTTAAAAAGTAATTCATTACAATTGCATGTTGCTTATTAAAAAAAGTAACTCATTACTTCATTCATTATGTAGTGAGTTATTTTTTTTTCTTTCCGTAAATAATACATTATCATTATCGTTATGAAAAATTATATTATTATCAAATTGTTATTATAAATAAATAATTGTAACGATGTTACAAGTAACATATACTTCTTTAAGAATAAATACTAAGTATATTTATCTACATACCTTTATGATGCATTAATTTGCCGGACTCTCGTCTGTAACGCATATCATATAGACATACCGTTTCATCAGCACCAGCTGAAGCTAAATAATATTTACTACTGGCGACAGCACGTATACTTGAAACATGGCTGTGAGTCGCAAAGCTTTTCTCTATTTTATACTCCTGACAGAAGGACAGAAAATAGAATTTGTATTTAAAATATTCATATTTAGAAAGAGAGAGAGAGAGAGAGAGAGAGAGAGAGAGAGAGAATAAACTTAACATTGCCTCATTTAAAGTAGAAATTTTGATTACAAGATATACTTTCTTTTCTCTAAAACATCTTGAATGATTCTATTTTATAAAATAACAAATATACAAATATCTAAATATAAATGTTAGAAGCATATTTTCCTTGAAATTTATACTTGGGTTGTGTGAACTTAACCTGTACAAGACACGTGATGAAATATAACTTACATTTACGATGTTGTGCACTTTGTAGCCAAGTAAATATTGCTCATACGTTCCTACTATGATTTCAAATGGATTCAGAAATCTCGCGTCTGAATGCATCTTTTTTTAGTGTTTTATTCGTATTTCATCAGTGGAGCACAGTAGAAAGAGTACCTGTATCGCTTGCACGTGTGTCGAATATGCCTATAGTCTGTGTATGTGGAGAGAAGACCTCAAACGAACGTGATTGGATTCCATTGCAGACGACTCCGTTGATGTCATTTCGCCCGCGAAACTTTGAAACATTTTTCCGCATTTTATTCAAGTGGATAATCACTGTAGTTCAAGTTAGTAATCGCTAGTTAAAGTCAAGTTGAAAAAAAAAATAAATTTTTAACTTTTTTTTCAATTTTAATATAAAGTTTATTGCAACAATTTCCAATTTCGCGTTTACTTTAATCCTGTAAAAGAATTTTGCTTTTATTCCGTTCAGTAAATTCGGAGATTCATATCGATTTAAAATGTTCCAATAATTTGGTCACTCCAGCATCCCAGCATTAAGTCTCTGATAGTTTGAAATTTTTAACAAATAAGTTTTTCTTTCTTTATAGGTTTCCTAGGATAAAATTAACACTGGATTGATAATTCGGTATCAAGGTAAGCATCATTTATTTTCTCTTTGCTCATAACATTAATCTTTTATTTTCTTTTCTTTTCCAGCTCAACATTAATATCATTCTGGAATGATTTTTAGGCTTTTAAGAGGATTAAGATAGATAAATTATCTCTCTATCATCTATCAGTTTTTTTTTTATCACAGAATCATTTTTCTTTTAAAAAATACATGTATTTCTTATCTTTTTAATGCCATATTCTAATTATAGATTTTTTTGCATAAAATATAAAACTACTTTAACTTAATAACTTTAACTTTCAATAATAATAAGAATACTAACGTCAATAATATTCATAATAAGAATCAATAAAATAAAAAATAAATATAAGATTTTTCGTCTTCAACATAAATTTATCATGGCTGTTTTATAATTTCAATAGTCTAAAAATAAACCAATCAATTAATCAGTCTTGTCATGACATTTGTCTTTTGTCAAAGTTTCCTCAGATAATCATCCAACTAGCCTAGGCTCGTACTACTACAAGCAAATTTAGCTTCAAAGAAGAGAACACTAGAAAATCAGAAAGTTATGAACATCAATGAAGAGGAAAATCAATTACGCATAAAAAGAATTTTATATGCCGAAAACGAGACCACCACAACGGAGAGTGAATCAAAAGTAAGTAACAAATAATGTAACAATGTCCAACTTACCTTAACATCAGCTTCTATGAAAGAAAGTTTACCCTTTTTGTCTAAAAGAAATTTCTTCTTTGATTTTTTTCTTTAATTTTTTGGATACTCTCAGTCCTTTTGGTCATTTTTCTGTACTTATCTTAAAATTTAAAGTAAGAGTTTTTTAATAATAATGTTGTATGGAAAATTTTACTGAATCCATTGGATCAGATATTGGATTTACTTGCTTTGTTGTAATTTGTTGATCTTGAATTTTTTGGTTTTCTATTGCTCCATTTATTATTATAGCAAAAAAAGAAGGTCTTCTTTCAGATTGGTTAGCTAGAAAATTATCTTTTATGTTTTGTCGTAATTCTTCTTGCGTCAGATGTGACAGGATTTTGACTGGTATGTCATTACGTAAAATGCTATTTATAATCATTTTATTATTTTGCACCGTTAAGAGAATTTGATGTTTCTTCATTTCGTCTTTATTAATCAAGTGTTTTATTTTTATAGTTAGAGCTTCTCTATCGGCTTTCCATCTAGTATCGTGGTGCTTGCATTGTATGTTTTTTCAGTTTCTCCATGTCCTATGACAGTTTGTCCACTTTCTGTTGATATTTTTGTATCATTAAATTTCTCGTCTAACTGAATTTCGAGTCTGTCTGTAAATGGTATGGTTTTTTGTAATATCTTCTTAATTTTTCTGATCCTTCCTATTCTTTTCAATATTATGTCTCGTGTCCGTCTGTTCAGTATTTCAATAAACAATCTCTTCTACACTATTAAATTCTTCTAGGTCTTCCTTTGTCATTCTTCTATCTTGTCGCACTGTTAGACACTTATATTAAATATTTTTCTTAATCTTTCCGCCGTTTGTTTGTTGTGACTAAGAATCATTTAACAATGGGGATCTGTAACATAACGTAACGTACCATGATAAAAATTGCAATAGCTACGTTCAACAGAACGTTTATTTTGCAACTGTTGGAAGTTTTCTTTACGCTGATTGGATTATATTTTTAGATCTAGGAGAATGATCCTATCTCAGAAGACAATTAAAATAGTTGCACAATAGTTGAATCTGCTGAACGCACCCAATATTTTGAACATGGACTTTTTACAATAAGCCATTAGTCATAAATTCGAAATCAAAAGCTAAAAATATTAACGACTGTGATCGGCCAATTTCCAGCTTCTAACTTCTGATTTATGACTAATGGCTTATTGTAGAATGCCTCTTATGGCCATAGCACAGACTTAAACATAACGCATAACGCATATTTTCTTATATAAACATATAAGAAAATCAATTAATCTGAATCTTTCCTTTCCTTCCACTTAAAAGAAGAACTTTTAATTCTCGATAAATTTTGTTAATTTTTCTGCCGGTCCCTACATATATATTTTATATAAGCTTAAATTTATTCGAAATATTATTAAAATACAGACTAAATATTTTATATAATATTTTATATAATAATATTTATGATAAATATAAATATCATATCTTAAATATTTCGATTCAACAAAGAATATATATCGTATTACTTGAAACATTTAAAATCTTTGCTCGTTCTCTATCATATTTATGTTCTCATTTACACGGTCATTCGTTAATTTTATAAGTATATAAATATTTCTCTTATATTTTGTAAATATTTTATAAATATTGCGTGCTGTCTGAAATGTTCATTTTGAAATTTTCTAATATTAATATCAATCAGTTCATACTATCTTGTGGTGTATATACATCTGATGCCGCATTATAAATTGAAATGTGCACTTTCTGTATGTGTGGATATACAGGGTCGGACATGAATGTCAATATTTTGAATATTTGTCGTCAATTAGTAAAGGATGTAAAAGTCAAGTGTTACATATTTACTTCTGTATTGTAAGCGATTCATTGTTAGTACAAATCTAATCTAAAAATAGCATTTACCTCGATATCTTCGAGCATGTTCATTGCTTAAACTATATTTTTAATATTATATTAGGTGTTGGAATTAATTCGTAGCGTTTTTTAATGAAAGAATGTTATTTATTTCACATGAGCATTAAAAAATACATTAATGAAAGTCCTTCCCATCACTTGTAAAACGCTACGAATTAATTCCAACACCTAATATATTTGACGAAAATAAGACGTTCTATTTACCATGACATTTAATAGCCAAAGAAGCTGCATCACGCTTATTAACTATGTATATTTCCAGATTTTACTTCTTATTGCATTAATTATTTAAATTGAATATCCTCAAGAGGGTATCGTTGCATCTTATTAATGTAGAAGATATAAAAAAGAAGGGTGATTGAAATAAATAATGCTCGATTGATTGGTCGCAATTAGTTCCACATCGCAAAATCATCCACGGAAAGAATGATTTTGTTGAAATATCTAAAACTTTAAATAGATATAGATCTGAAAATAAGTTTTGTTGGATTATCAAAATAATTATATGGGAATTCAAGCATGAGCAATGCTGCAAAAAGTTATGATCATTCTAATAATTTGAGCGCTTCTTAATTATTTTAATAGAAACAACAATATTAGTTTCAGATCTGCAGCTAAATTTTTTTATACTTTTACAAATGTTCTTTCCATGACGCAAATCTATATCATTTGAAGTATTTTATATGCACCTACGTCCCTGCATTTATTCTCCGCGTTACTTGACAGGGAGACACGTTTGTTCTGCTTGGCGGAAATTTTAGTCGTTTAGTTATAGTCTTTCCGATCTATCGCGTGGTAAATTCTCAACCGATTCTTCAACGGCAACAAAATGAAATTACCGCTCTGTTCGCCGATGCTACTTTTCATTCTTCTCGGAATTTCAGCAGGGATTTGTCTCAACGCGGACGTCTTCGTCGATTTGATATTGGATGTCCGAAAATTTTACTCCGCGGCATCCGTTATTTTTGTTCATCCTGGAGACATGTATGGAGATTATGGGGGTCAGTTTATATTAAAGTATCTTTTAAAATAGTATTATTATATAGGGATGGGCGCGTATCGATACGCTAAAAATTGTTTGGAAATTGTCTTTCAGATGAAAAAGAATTTTTTGTACACAAAGATTGGTTTGAAATAGCCTCAAAGACAATTTCTAACGGAAATTTTGATATCGGTTTTTGATATCGGTTAAAAATTATTTTTGAAACTATTTAAACCAATTTTTTTTTATTAAAAAAAAATCTTTCCTTCTTCACTTGAAAGACAATTTCTAAACGATTTTTAACGTATCATGCGTATTGCCTATTCCTAATTAATAGCATTACATAGTTTAAATGAAAATAAATTGAAGATAATCTTGTTAATTCAGTGTATGTATGTCATACCGTGCTCTTGTGTTAATAAAACAACTACATGTTTTCATTAATATCTCAGACTGCACACAAGGGTAATTCCGCCTAATATATAAATTATTAAATATATAAATATATAAATATTTACGCCACAGGAGTCAGAAAAAATAGAAATGGGGTAATGTGCACGCAATCACTTCTGTTATATGCTTTTATGTTACATTAGTACTGTGTTATGATTTCAGTTTTTTACTGTTTGTATTAATAAAATTACTGTCAGTTGAATCGATTTGTCAATGTAGTAAGTAGCGCAATCATATATCATAACTCACATAAAATGATTGCACTGTAGAAATTGCAAAAAGCTTAATGGTTATTTGGTGATACATAAGTGTAGAGGGACAGTAAATTATGAAGTACAGCAAAATACAAGTGCTTAGCATTTATATTCTTTGTTCAACTTGATATCTTGTATATTCCACTTATTTGAGAGATACAGCATATTCAGCTGACAGGATTTATGTCCAAGACATACAAAGCTAAACCTATAATATCAGTGAAAACGAAGTTTTTATGTATAAAATATTATATAATATTTTAAAAAAGTAAATAGAAATAAATATTTATGAATATTTATTATAAATATTTGTGCTATCTGGAATTGTGTGGAATGCTGCATGTGTGTGGTGTTATGTATGTGATACTGTGTGAATTAACAAGATTATTTGTAATTAGATTGTATGCTGTTAATACAGTATTATTTATGAATGTTAACACGTGTTGCCTTAGCGAATTTTGTATAGTCAACAGAATTACGCTACAGAATTATTATTATTACTATTATTATAAATATATAATAAAAGATATGATTAAATATGTAAGACTAAGTATCCTAATGAATACTGAATGAAAGTTGAATAGCATATATTTTTTTTATTTTTTATTGTTATCTATCCATTTATATCATTAAAAATTTGACATTAGGCAATTATTTTTTCATAAGCATTTAAGAAACTTTTGATGGCGTCATCATGACAGTAAACGTGTTATCTGAACGTCTTATCTGAACAAATGTTTGGTCAATAATCATTGCAACGTCGATCATCGCGATTAATAGAGCAGTTATTCTTACACGACTTCGCTTTAAAAGATTTTTTTATTATTTTTTCTTTCTATGCCATAAATGGAATAAATTTATAAAATTGTGCAGTCTGCAGATAAAAGTAATAGAGGAAGACGAAATCACCAAAGCATTTCTACCCTGTTCAAATGATTAGGATTTTTTCTTTTTTTAAGAATTTGAGTTTCTTAAATATCTAAACTTGTTGAGCTGATTTTGCAAAATTCTCGCTATAGATTTGCGAATCACGCATTTGATACATACGAGCACCCGCTTGCTGAGCCGACGATACATAATGACTGCGGACGTGCACTTTAAAAAGTTATGGAGAACGCTTAAATACTACCATCAAGTAACTCAGCCTATTACCGTCGTCATTATACCCGACTTTGAGGCGTACTTGAAGTTTGCGGATGCCGTTAAGGCCTATCCCATGTCTTTTCCGGCGTGGTTCATTCTGTTTCTCTACACCTCCGACAACAGCACCTATGATCACTGCCGTGAACCGATCGGTAATCCCTTTAATCTAACGTTCGATACGCAGATGTTAGTATTATGTAACAACGAGACGATATTGCGGGAATGGTATTCCGTCAAGGGCGATACCGTCAAAATCTTTGACCTGGCGGAATGGAGAGACGATAAAGGATTCATTCCTCTGACGAATCTGTCTCTCTACGAACGGAGGAAAGACATGGAAGGAGTTGTCCTACGAGCGGTCGCGGCCAAGGTGCTCAATAAAATTCAATGTGCTTTTTTCTATATGTATAATATGTATATTAATATCCTAGTAGCACAGCACTTGATTGACGTAATAAAGGATTCATTACATTTATTTAATTCTCTGTAAAGGAGAAAAGAAATGCGATAAAAAAAAAGAGAGATATATCTTGCGTTTTTCGTTATACTTAAAAATGTTTTGTCTATAGAATATCGCTAAAAGTATTATTCAAATAATAATAAAATAATCCAAAAATATCAATAATATTAAAAAAATTTTGATGATATTAATTAACGATATTAACATATAACAATTCTACAATTCTTACGTTTATAGAAATAATTGTGAAACGTTTTCTGTTCAATTAATCGGTATTAAACGAATGCAGAGTTTATTTTCGACGATTGATGGGAATCAGGTGGCTACTATGTACGGAAAAGTGTTGGAGGAGCTCACGAGTTCTCTCAACTTTACCGTGAATATTGTCTCGCAAATAAACGAACACGGTATACAGAATCGGCAAACTCTCATCTGGACTGGAGTGATGGGCAAGATTGTGTCGGGTCGCGCGGATTTCGCTGTCGCCGACATGTCATTGACGAGTCTTCGAAAGCGTTATGTCGATTTTACGCTGCCCTTGATCGTATCTAAAATCAATCTGTATATCAAGGAACCGGGAATATGTGGCGTCAAATGGATCGGCTATTTTCAGGTAATATGATTAATTAACGTTCAAATTATGGGTTTAGCTTTATCTTGTTAGTATTGTACAAATCTTGTTGCTTCGAAAATAATAAAGTTGCTTAAAGCATATCGTGGTATACTTACTTAAATCGTATTTCAATTTTTTTCTTATTACTATATAAACAATGATGAATAAAAATATGTGATGAATATAAATATAGATAAACATTTTTCGTATACAATGATAGCTACAAGACCATTGTTTAAATTATTTTTTATAAATATAAATCGAACAGAATCGAATTCGAAAGTTAATTAAAATGAGATGAAAATTGCAAAAGTAATTGAAAGTAAGCAAATATTCATCAGAATATTTATAATTTTAAAATGAGAATCGATTATGTGAATATATCGGCCACAAATTTGAAATTTTTGAATTTTGAGTTCGTGTATGAATCACAGTGATTCAAATTCGAAAATTAAATTGAATGTTATTTAATTCGATTCAATTCAATTCATATTCGAATAATTCGAATACTTTATAACTTTTACCATGTTGTAAAAAAGACGAATAAATTAATTTGTTCTTAGCAAAAGATTCTTAGCTACACATATAATATAAAGTAATATCTTATCTTGCTATCAAGTTACAATTTCCAATACTAACTTGCAAATTAGTATAAGATAAGAAGTACCTATAACATAAAATATCTTGGTATGATTTTATCAATTTTCATGAATGTGTCGAAACAACTTTTTAAATCGAATTTGATTTGAATTAGTTATTTTGAAATAACTAATTTTTTTAAACTTGTACAATCACAACAGACTTTCAATTCGCGTACGTGGGCTACAATTATCATACTGATAGCGACCGTGCCGCTACTCTTATTCTTTATGAAATCGTACCGTAATCAATCACGAAGCGCCATGGATCTGATCTCTGAGAATTTCATCTGCATTTGGGGTATCTTTTGTCAGCAGGCGCTTATAGGTATTAATATAAAATTTACAACTTCCAAAGTAATTAAATTAAATATTTGATTATATAAAATATATGATTTCGTTTTCCTGAAAGAGGATAAGATAAATTAAATTTTAATTAAGTTAAAAGTTAAATTTGATGTTGGACTCTATTTCCTCCTTTTTTGAAAGTTGATTGGAATTTTAATTAAATTTTTTCCTCTAGAATTTCCGAAAAATGTATCGCTGCGCGTCGCGTATATTACGATATTTTTAACGGCGATGCTGATAATGGCTCACTATTCAGCGGCGTTAATTTGCTTCCTGACAGTGTGTACTAGCATTCTGCCTTTTCAAACGTTAGAAGAATTTATTGACGATGGTACCTATAAATTAATCATGCTACGTGGTACTGCTGACTACGAAGTAGTTACCGTAAGTTCATTCAGTGATCAAAGAATTGCGATCCGACATTCACTTTTAAGTAGCTCAGAACATGTTTTGAACGATTGAAATTACGTCAGACTATTGCATTCGGTAATATGAAATTACCCAGATATCAAAATTATTAAAATTAATAAAATAATTAGCAAAATGTCGATAGACTGATAACAGATTTGATCAGAAGATGTTAGCAGATTGACTTCAATTGATGTCGCATTCTGCTTCTGTTCTTATATCAATATCTGTTAAACATTCTATATCAACAGATTGGCAGCAGAAATCTCAGAATCTGCTGAGAATTTGACAGCAAATTAGTAGTTGAAATCGAGCAGATTCTGTTCTGTTAATAGCATAATATGTAATAGAATATGTTAAATATGTATTTATTTGTATATTTAAGCTTTAATAATACGTAAAATATATTTAATTTATCAATAAAATTATTTAAAATTATTTCTTCAAAATAGAAAAAAAAATGTAATAAAAACGTTATTTTAAGAAATTTTTCAAAGTAATAACGTTACAATTTTAATACCTACAAAACAAACAAGATCTACCCGATTTCTATTGTTGATCAAATCAGATTAATATTGTTGCGCAGTTCCTGCTTGATTTCTGTTGTCAACCCGCCATCAGAGTTAACAGATTCTGCTTGGTTTCTACTGCAAATCTGTTGACATAGAATCTCATGTGCTACCGTCAGAACGGAATCAGAATGCGACATCAATTGAGGTCAGTCTACTAACATTTTCTCGTTAAATCTGTTGTGCTAATCTGCCGACATTCTGCTAACATTTTGCATTTTGTTTACGGAGCAGTTTCTGTTTGAAATTTATTGCCTTTCTAGCATTAGAAATTATATAGCAGACTGCTCAAATTTTGGGTATCTGGATACGATATCACATAATATCTCTTGTGGTTTCATTATGTTGATATATGGAACAATAAATGATTAATGCGTTACAAGATGTTTTCGTCATAGTTTCAGGCGCAGCATGAGACGAAGCTTTTCTATGCAAAGCTGATGAAATTAATGAAGGACGAATCGGAATTGCCGAGAAATCTAGAGGAAGGCTTCATGCAAGTACGATCAATAATCTATATTTTTTCGTGAGATATCAAGACGAATCAATTTTAATAATATATTTTTATATATTTATTATCTTTTATTTCTATGAAATTACCTTCTTCTTCTGATTAATATGATTACTTAAGCGTATTCGTATTTGAAAAGTTTTTTATTGAATCAATTGATTGAATCCGCTGCTTGTTCAGGTATGCAATGAGAAAAATGTTGCCTTTATGGTGCTGAGTGCTCGAAAGAAAAGCGTAGAAAAGGAGATACCCTGTAAGTTGTCGAGTATTACTACCGAGAGGATAGACAATTTAGCAATGATCCTCTCCAAGAATAATCCGTACACAGGCGTGATAAATTATCAGTGGGTATATATATATATATATCGCGAAAAATTTCCTTTTTATATTTATAATCTTTCCTTTAGGTTATAAAAATATCGCGTATACTAGTTTGCAGAAATTTTTGGACAATGGTATGATAATGCGTCTGAGGGAAACATATTCGCCACAGTTGGCTGAAAACAAGATTTACAAGCCAGTTTATTTATTTAACATCGTCCCAATTTTGGCAATTCTTTTCGGAGGTTTTATTATAAGCATCATGATAATGATTATAGAGAAAATTCATTATCGATCGAGAAAGAAATTTCAATCAAGAGTATTTTCTTCGAGAAATCTATTTATCAAGAAATATAATAATTGAAATAAAACTTAATCACAATTTAATTCGCTAAATATCGAGAGACATCTTTTTAGCGAGAGAATTTCTTCATCATCTTTCTTTCTGTATGAGTAAAAATTTTTTTTTATGATGTGTGTATATATGCGTGTTTGTGTGCTTGTAAATTTGTCACAGTTAATTATTATTTAAAGTTTTTCCGGTAAAAGTTTAGATTAGAGAGACTCCATTCCGATAATTTTTATCTTGTGACATGTTGCGTCCTTTTACTCGTAATATATTTAAATAGATATTAATATTATTAAAATTTTGTATTTTATTTAGGTTTGATGATAATATGATTATAATGTAAATGGCGTATACAATTATGTCGCTGCGCTTGGCTTAGCGCCGAGACTACCGTGTTTCCAAATTAAAATTATTATATCACGAGTTAAATTTATGATGTGCTAACACTAAAATAAAATAAAAATTAAAACATCTTTCTCATGAAAGAAGATAATAGAATTTTCTAAAATTATATTTTATTTTAAGCATTCCTTTACAGCATTCATTTATTAAAAATTATTTTTGTTATTAAAATTGTTTAAAATATTCGCTTTACATATAAATTAAATAATATATCAAATTTTCAAGATTTATCAAGACGACATCTTTTTCTGCTCAATGTCACATTCCTTTTGTGGGTGTGCACGTTTGCATTGATCCTTATATGCACATCGAACTGAAAATTAACTCCAGACAAAAAGTCCGAAATCGAGACATAAGTCTTAAAGGCGTCTTTTAGACGTCTTTTTAAAAAGTGTCTTTAAGAGTATCTTAAAAGATAAGTCATATTGAAAATATAGCATTTACACAAACGATTTACGTGTCATTGACACATCACTTCATCAATATCTCACTCACGCACACCACACATACACATAAATTTTCGTATTACAATTACGTTTTAATTAGACATCGTAATACCTATTTTCATCATATAGATTAACTTTAATCTCGGTTTAACTTACTCTTCGTCTTTTTCTAATTTTTAGAACTAGAAAAGGACGAAGAGTAAGTTGAACCGAGATTAAAGTTAATCTACATTGGTGGAAACAAGCATAAGTCCAATTTTAAAAACTCTACGTTATTTCTTCATGCAAATTATACTGTGGACTACTATTTCGTGGACTTACTATTATTATTTATTTTAAATACAGATTACACAGCTTTTATATGAAGCAAATGTTCCCGTATGACATGGAGTCTACAATAGAAATCGTAGAGTCTTAAGTCATAGGAAATTGACCAATCATGCATAATCGATTATTCTTCTCATATTCGACTGTGATTAATTTTCTACGACTTAAGATCCTACGATTTCTATTGTAGACCTAAAGCGTTTCATATTGACAAAACGGAATGATTTCGAATCGCTGCGCAACAGTAATGCAGTTTATGCATTTCATGCGCAACTCGAAACGCACCCCTTGTCTACTTTTATGCATCATGCGAGGAGTTTAACGATGATGAATAATTCATCAGTCTGATCGATGATTTTTACCGATAAACAAGTCATATCGTCACATATATCTCTATATAATTTGTAATAATGCTGCCGCATATCATCCAGCAGTCTCTTCAGTCACATGTTCGCACCCTTGAGAAAGTCGCGGTATCCTCATTTCTTTCTTTAATCCTTAAGCAGCAATAGTCACGCTTTTTAATAAAAAATTCCGCAATTCGTTATGTTTAATTCGTTATCTTTAATAAGATTTTAGAATTAAAATATCGACAATTTTATTATGCTTCTCTCCAGTCTCATATTTGTTTTAATTTATTACGATAAATAATTTTTCGCTTTGAATTCATCGTTAATTATTTATCGTACCATTGTACGAAATAGATTTTTATTTTTTTTACACAGTATTCATTTATTCAAGATTTTAATTTAAACTTGTACATTGCGAAATGAAATATATGATACTGAGATTGATCGCGATACTCTCCTTCATGTTGAGCATCAAATCGTTAACAAAAGAAACAGATATTAATAATGATTTCTGACTAATCAACGATCATATATCCACAGATATTATCGCACATTATGTGTTATTTTCGTGCGATTTGAAAATTACGGTAAGTACCGGGAACAATTTCCAACTATCATTTTTCATATTGCACATCAATCAGCTAGTGAAAAAAAAGTTTTCGCTAACTTTCAAACAAATATTGAATCATAATTTCACTTGTAAATTGTTTTAGTTTTCGATCGTTAAGTTGTAATTATGTAAAAAATAAGCCATTTTTAGATCTTCTTTTAATGTTAAAATATATATAACAAAATTCTACATTAATGTCTATTTTTATCATGTAATTTAATTTTAGTTTCAGTTCAATCAATTCTTCATCTTTTTCTAGTTTTGAAAATTAAAAAAAATGAAAAGTATAGATAAACTGAGATTAACGTTAATCTACATTGGTAGAAATGGGCGAATTTTTCTTCTTAAATGCTTTGAGCAATGTAAACGTGCAATCGCAACAGCCTTGATCGCAACTATAAAAATGAACCGGCGTATATATGTAGTAGTTATGGAAAAGTTATATAACATTCTTCGTGATAAAGAAAAGTTATATAACATTCTGGAATTTATAATTTGAATAATTTTTTGACATCTTTTTACTAACATTTTCTAGTTATTCATAAATTCGTTAATTTATTTTCTGCTTGATCCAAATATTAAATGATATTAAATAAATCATAATAATTGATTGACTTTTAGTAATCATTTGGAGTCATTTTGACGTTATGATGACTTGTGTTCTGCTTGGTGTCTATTATTAAATTTAAATGCTAATAATTATAATGCCTGCAACTATTCATGATGCAATGTTCATGTTAAATGTTGGTATTTAACGATGTGTCAAGAAATAACCTGCAAATCTCTCTCTCTCTCTCTCCTATTTTCGCGCCAGATGAAAATATTCGTGAAACTCTCAAAAGAATTATATTACCCGTTAACATTTAAATATTGTATATCCAATTAATTATCTGCATGTAATTATTTGCAACAACTGCAACAAAGTGTAAGCTAGATCTTTCCACGAAAATAACTTTTTTAATTATCGTCTTCAGATATTGATATGTGATATCGCGCGATTTAACTTACGACACAAATATTTACGTAAGATGATAAGAGGCAAACGATATGTTTATATTTAGAACGTAACACTTCGAATATTGTTCAGTCAGTTTCGTGTTGTCATACTATCGTTTTAAAAGTACTCAGTACATTTAGGAAAATGATAAACTCCAAAATCATCGCTATCGATGTACAGGATATAAGATTTCCGACATCATTAAATCGAGATGGAAGTGACGCAATGGTACTCATTATTAAAAAATTTAATATGTTCGCTGTTAGTTCATTATTCTGATAAATCAGCAAGAGAAGAATATTCGTAAATATATCCATATTAATACGCTAAGCATTACTCAAGCATATTAATTTATGCTAATACCAAATAATCGTTATTACGTAAATTAATAAAATAAATATTAATTTTCATTAATAGTAAATAATAAAATTAATAATAATAAGCAATATATTAATAATCATTTACTTAGAACTTATGCTGCTTTAGATTGCACGTTAAATTAATTAATAATTTTTGATCTTTATTTATTGTCAAATTATATTTAATTTCAATTATATTATATTCAATACTTGAATATAATATAGTCTTTATTTATAACAACAGCATACCGATCCTGATTATTCTTGCGTATACGTAACGATTAAAACAAGTACCGGGCACGAAGGATATGGTCTTACGTTTACTTTGGGAAGAGGAACTGAAATCGGTATTACAATATACATATATTGATATATGTGTACATTTATAATATTTTAAATACATACGCTTTTACTTAAACAATAATTTCGACAGTTATGCAAGCATGTAAGTCTCTAGCCAGAATTGTAAGGCTTCGAAAATTAGAATGGATTTACAATGATTTTGCGAAATTTTGGAGACGTTTAACGAGCGACTCACAATTGAGATGGGTAATGTATAATAAAGTATAATAATTAAAATATGAAGATTATCATGTAATCGGGATATTTTAGGTCGGCCCGGAAAAAGGCGTGATACATCTAGCTACAGCGGCTATTATAAATGCACTGTGGGATTTATGGGCCCGTATTGAAGAAAAACCTGTCTGGAAACTTCTTTCGGACATGACACCTAAGGAGCTCATATCTGTTATAGATTTCAGATACATGTAAGCCGAAATTTTTTGTAAACCGAAGTATAGAGCGACATTTACTCTCATGATAAATTTTATGTATACATTTCTAAACAGTAGAGACATAGTGGATGAGCATAACGCGAGAATAATACTCGAAGAGAAAATGGAATATAAGCAGGAACAAGAAAAGAAATTGCTGAAGAATGGATATCCCGCGTACACCACTCAAGTCGGATGGCTGGGCTATAGTGATCAACAGCTTGAGGATCTTTGTAAAAAATTTCTCAACCTTGGTTATACAGCATTTAAGATTAAAGTAGGCAATAATCTGCAAGATGATATTAGAAGATGCGAAGTGATACGCAAAGCGATTGGCTACGAAAACAAATTGATGCTGGACGCGAATCAGGTGTGGGATGTGAACGAAGCGATCGAGTGGATGCAGAAACTGGCGAAATTTAAACCCACTTGGATAGAGGAACCGACGTCTCCCGACGATATCAATGGACACGCTGAGATATTGAATAAATTAAAGCCGTATGGTATTGGAGTGGCAACTGGCGAAATGTGTGCAAATCGCGTTATGTTCAAGCAGTTTTTGAAACACCATGCAATCAGTTATTGTCAGGTTGATTCAGCAAGGATTGGTGGGATTAACGAGATTCTGGCTGTTTATTTGATGGCACACATAACTAAAAGTAGGTCTATTATAATCAATAAATTGAATTTTTAGACTTGGTTAAGATTAGAGAGTAGTAAGTTTCAAACCTCAATCTATTTCTCAAACATTTCAAGGAACTGATTCTTAACGAATTTATAATTGATTTCTACTCGTTAAAAGAAAACATAATGTAAGATGGAAATTTTTATTTACAGCACCAGTTTGTCCGCATGCTGGTGGAATAGGTTTGTGCGAGATGGTTCAACATCTCCAAATGTGGGACTATATTTGCTTAAGTCAGACCACTGAAAATCGAGTGATTGAATTTGTGGATCAACAGCATGAACACTTTGAGAATCCTGTTCAAATTAAAAACGCGTGTTACATGCCACCTATGAGTCCTGGATACTCGACTAAACTTAAAAAAGAGAGCATCGTACAGTATGCTTATCCAGAAGGTAATTATTGGAGAAATAAGATTACTGAAGAAAAAGAAGTTGAAGAAAAACATGATTAAACATTTTTGAAAAATATACATGTATCTATAATTTGTTTTATAAAAATCTATATAACACTGTTTGTGCATTTTTAAGTATAATAAGATATATACACATATATTAAGATTAAACAATTAAATGCAACAATGAAATATATATACATTATGCAAGATACATGTATATAAGATATATACGATTTAATGTAATACGAAACTGTAATATTATCTCTCTTAATCCTTAATAAATATATAATCTTTGTTATATTCTATATATAATAAATATTTTTACTCGCAATCACATCCAATATTCCATGATAAATTGCACAAAATTTTAATATCTAATTCATATCAAGAAGGTAACTAACAAAGTAAAACTATAATGCTCTATTTTTACTATTTTCTAAGCGAGATTTCACATAGTCTGTCTGCAAAAAAAGAATAGCAATACGTATAACAAAAATTTATCTTTCACAATATTTATCTAATATAAGTTTTATAATTTTTACTTACGCTCACAAACCAATAATTATTGGGATTGGGAAACATCAGCTTTTTTATACCACTCATTTTCTCTATTGGCGAAATAACATGTAAATGTAAATGCTGAACGGTATTAAATGGTGGCCAATGAAATCCTGTTCGCGTAGACGCAGAATCAAGATTCATCTTTTCAGAGATAATGTCTACTGTAGCAACAATCTTGTTGACTGAAATTCAAGAATCAAAGAATAACAGAAAGATCAATAATCAATTGCCAAATTGGAAAAAACATATAATATTAGAACAAGAATAAAGCTTGCAGCACACGATGCTTTTTTATTTCAAGATTACTAGCTTACTGTCATATTGGTAGCGACGCTGGTAGTGCTATTGGCCGTGTGGCTAATTTAGACGGTGCGTTTTCGTGCTAGCCGAGCAGCTGTTTTGTTTGACAGAGATATTTATCCAAATAAACAAACATAGGGTGGTATTCATAATTCGTTAATTCTTATTTTAAAACTATCTTAAGTAATATTATAAGATAAGCTAATATACAGCCTTCTGATCATTTTCACTATCGTCATCTGCACTGTAGGCCTTTCATGCCAATATCAATTTTCTTCTACTAAAATAGTTATGAAAAATAAAAAAAAATTTTTTATTGTTTTATACCTTTATTTTATATTCTAAACATTTTTTTTATATAACAAAATACAGAGAGAAACTCTGACTGTTCCTTGGAAGATCCATGGTGCGTTTAAAAGGTTAAAAGTATACTTAAGATAATCTCAAATATAAGAATCAACAATGAATACCAGCCAGAGTAGTTGCTATTATGATACATTATCATAAAAATACTGCTACCCTTAATATTATTGCAAAAAGAATACTTTGATCATATGATCTAAAACTGCATATTGATTGACTTTCATAATGAGCCAGCACAAAATCATGCAAGAAAAATAATACTTTGCCTACAACAGGAAAATTTAATAGACCAATCAGCAGCGTAGCCAGCAGGCCATACAATTTCTTTAATATAACAACTAGCAAGAATGTCAGTAGCAACCCTGCAGAGAAAAATGCATCGTAGGCTTAAAAGACAGAAAAACTTTAATATATTTTTTTGAACAAGTATACATATACAGGGTCAATCAGAGTCATTGAACCAACTTTTTACTCTACGAGAAAATTATCGATTTCATAATTGAATTATAACATGTGCAGTCAATTATTTTCTCATAAGATAAAAAACTAGTTCAACATGTATATATCAAATATAAATATTTGATCAATAGTGTACTAAATGGTATTAAACAAAGATATACCAAATCAATATTTACATAATTTAATAAATTACATAATTATTTAATAAAAATCAACTTAAATACATTAAGAGAGATAAGTCTATCATACTTACAAAGTTCAGAATCTTCAGGTTGAAGTGTTTTTGCATTGCGTATATGTTTATTAGGTATTATCAAATAATGATGTGTAGACACTGGATTAATGTCTTTAATGCATGTGACATCCTCATCCTAGTAACAAAAACATAAGTTTATGCACGTTATGTCGTGTACACTCGACATTTATATATTAGATTTATATATTAGATACATTTATATGCATGTGTACAAATTTTATCTGTTAAATACAAATAATTTGGAGGTTAGTCTAGTACCTCGTAAATTTTTTCGCCAGATTCCTCATTCCTAATAATTTTACAGAAGATACAATTTGACAGTTGTTGCGTTTGAGCCATTGAGATTTAAATAATTTCGATGATAATCAATTCGACGACACCTAATGACAATTTATCCTGGAAGCCCAAATATTTGTTCTAAAATACCCGCATAAATAAAATGCAACCCGCGCATTACTGCCCTCTGAAGAAGTGGATGTAAATTACACAGCAATATTCATTTTTCTTCGGTGCTCCTGTTGGAAATAAATCGCTGAAATCGTTAAAGTTTTTATTAATTTGATTTATTACAGTGATTTCAGCGATTTATTTTCATCAAGAGCATCTCATTTATTATCATAAGGAGCATATACAATTTGTTATAAATACAACTTTACAAATACTTTCTAAAGATGTGTAAATATACGTAAAAATCGTTTAATAATTTTTATACACTTGTAAAAGTGATGCAAATTAATCCAGAACACGAATGATCTAATATGCATAGTAACCCAAAACTAAAGTGTGTACCAAGAGTCAAATAAAGTTATAGATTTTAAATAAAAAATATAAAAAAGTTATTTTGTATTTACTATTTTAAATAACTATACTTCTGATTTATTTCTTATTTAGTGTTTTAAATAAGTATCAGTTTTTTAACGATTCCTACGATTTTCTATTTTAAATAAGCTTTTGAAACTTATATTATATTTTTTATTTTAAGTAAGTCAACAGTAATAGTTGTTTTATCGAGCATGATCGGCTTATTAATTATACATAAAAGTTTAAAGAATTTTTGAAAGAAAGAATAATTTATTGCAGCAATAGTAATGTCATAAATTAATTTTTTAGCTGAAAAATTAAATTACTCGTATGATTAACAAGATATTTATACTTTTAACCAAAGCTGTACTGAGCGCAAATAATTTCGCAATATTAAAAATTGCATGTATCTTTATATAAAGGATGTATAGAATATTATCAACTTTTGTTTAAGTATGAATCATTTAAAAGTATAATGAAAATTGAGACATAATGTACCATTGGAACATCAAAAATACTTTAAACACGCGAATAATTACCAATTACGTTTAAAGGATTAAATTAGTAATGCCACAAAGCAAAGCGTGAAACGTACAACGATACCTGGTTGTCAAAATCATGTAAAATAATTATAACTGTGAATATTTTTAATACGCAATAGTTGGGTAATCAAATGGTGCGCAGCGAACAGCGAAGGAAAGGGGAGGTACGCTCCCCCTCGCTTTTTGTCACGTCACGCGGCAAAAGTGAGGGGGAGCGTGCCATCTGGCGCGCAGCGCGGTGGTTGCTACGTCATCACTTCGGCATTCGCTCGGCGACCTCGAAGGGAGATGGACGTGTTTTACGAGTCGTTGCGGATGTCGCATTAATCCACGACAGATGATATGATGTCTACGAACGCTAATTGATGAATCAAATAGTAAGATTGCTCAAAAGTAACTCTTTTATCTTTTTTATTAAAAATATACAATATTTTAAATACGACCGAGTCCCGTATATCCCGTAAAGTCAAATTATTGATTTATAATAATTTGGTTTATCAATATAAATCAATAATTTGACTTTATATTACGTGAAATAAACTCCAATTAGTATTTCGTCGTGGAATTAAAATGAAATAATTCCTTATATCAAACCTGTTCTCAGAACTCAGCAGTTTAGTTTTAGTGGCGCGAGTCAATGTTTAATGTGATACCGTAATTATATTGTCGTACACTGAAGAAATTATTTATTTTATAGTTTGAAATATTTTGTATCAATTATTTAATGTGCTGACGGAGGGCAAAAGGTAAAAAGATTTTTTGTACATAATTGTTCACTTAAGTATTTTTGACGTTTCAACATTACATCTTAATTTCCATTGCTCTCTGACGATTTACAATTAAATAGAGATTAATAATAAGTTATATATATTCTTTAAATAAAGATAAATGCAAACATCTTTTTTAAATTATAATACAATTTGAACTGAATATAATAATGAGTATAAATATAGCATTCATATCTTGGGAAAAAATGTTACATATGTATATGAAAATATTCATATACATATATGTATATAATTATATATAAAATGTGTCAGTTGCAATAAAGCCTACTCATCGAAGAATCTTAAAAATGTAACGACTAAATTATAAATTAACTGATTTTATAATATTCGTTCTATGTCGCGTTTCGATAGTTAGATGATCGGCGCATAACCTATGCGTGAGATTGTTTTGGCGCGAAAGGGCGGGCAGCGCGTCACGTTTATGCGAAGTTACTGCGCAGTCATTTTATTAGCGAGGCTCTTACAGGCAGGTAGCTATGTCACGTGCCGTTTTTGTTCACATTACTTTTTGAAATCTTCTATCGCGAAATCTTCTATATTGAAATTTTATATATATGTATTTTTAAGATCTTTTTTAGAAAATGTATAATTATTTTTATAAATGTCTAAATGAAAATTGAATTAAAAAATTCGATTCTTATAAAAGTTATATATTTAAAAAATTATATGATTATTATAATATATAATTATTCGAGATTTTGTGTTTAGTAAATTTTTTTTTAATTTCTCAATTTTTTACTTAAAAATGTTGATTAATTTTTTCTGCTCTGTTTTAATTGGGATTTATTTCATATTCTTTTTGTTACAGAATCATCGTGGCGACATTACAGATGTAACTCCATTGTTGCGCATCCGATTGATAAGTGACAAATTAATGTTTTTTATTGAGGTAATAATTTAATGAGATATATGATAATTTTATTAATTACTAGAGTAATGCATCTAGATGCATATACGCGCCAATTTAACTGATTGTTCATTAAACATTTTATTTTGCTAAATGCAGTGCATATATTTATCATAATAAATTTAAAAAATGTATACAGTAATATAATAGTTACTTTTATAATTACTGTATATATTTTTCAAATTTATTATGTATTATTATTACAAATATATATAAAAAGAGTAATTCTAATTATAACTTCATAACATGAGCAACGAGTTATTTCTCATTACTCAATATATATATTTTTTACTATTTTTTATGTTTACCTTTTATTCACCTTTTTACCGATATTCATTAAATCTATATTTAGTTCAACAGATTGTTTTATTTCCAACATAGCAAATCTTTGACCTAAAATTTAGTGTGTTCCGCAAATTTCCTATATTATACAAGATTGTATAACTTATACAAGAGAATATAAAAATATATAAAAGTATTGTTTATCGGTTCAATTATATAGTCCAGCACAGAATGGTATATATGAGTAAGAGTGACGATTTCGGTTCTTCTCAGGCAAAAATCTGGATCAAATTGTACTTTGTTTGGTCAGAGATTGGGATCTTTATTAACTCCATAAATATTGATTTGCATAATTGTCTCATCAGGTACTATTAATATGATTCTGAGAAGTATATTGTAAAATGATGTAAGTAATAATGTTTATATATTATAATATTTACAAATAATAATTATACAAGCCTTATTAAAATTTTCATATTGAATATTTATCTAATAAACGGAGAAAATTTTATATCAAGTTTTAATACAATTTTAAGTTACACTTTACTATGTCTTGCATTTTTGATGAATCATCATAACATGATTCTAACATAACTTTTACTAGAGTAACGTTTACTAAACGTTTTACTAGAGTACGAATTTTTATGACATAAATTAAGTAATTTTTGTTAAAAGCCAATGCTTAAGTCATATTCTAACATGAAAACAGTTAATATTTACTATGATACGTAAACAAAATTTGCTAGGTATATATATATTTTTTACTTATCTTTACGATACTAATTTTTATTCAATAATTTTTGATTTGTAATACAAAATTTTTATTATGAAAGAATGTAAAAATTACGTTACATTATTGTTTAAAAAAAAAATAGGTATAACATTTAAACTTGTAATTGTCAGCCGCAGCTTCTACAACATTATAGTAATTTTAAATATAAAATTTTCTCTGTGTATAAAACGAATGCTAGTTATATAGCTTAATATAAAATATTATGTAATAATTATTTAAATTTGCTGAATAACATTATTTTCTGAAAATATTGAATGTTATATGTAATTTTATATGTAAAATAGTTTAAATACTATACAAATTAACATTATTACTGGTAATACAAATACAGAATTTTTGAAATGAGAATCTTGCATTTCATACAGATTTAATTCTTACAATTGATGATGCTCCAAATAGTAAGATTATATTTCTGTGATTTTCTCAAAAACGTTATATTGACCAGTATGGTGACAAGTGTAGTAGAATTATTCGAATTATACGACATCATATTTTTCGATTATTACAAGTTATCTGATTTCGTTATCATGCTCTGTATAAACATTATAATAAACGTCTGGCCAAAGCAGATCGGTCTTTTGACTGATCGCCTCTTTCATTCGGTATATAATTACGATAGTTTCGTACATTTATGGAAAGTGAGAGAAAGCAAAACAAAAGAGAAAAGGAGGAGATAAATAACTATATATCTGTTATTTTTATCCATTTCAAACTCATATTAAAGGATTTCTGGTACTCTCATGAAATGGGTGCGTTACACTTTAAAAATCAAGCATACTAGTGCCTCTGTCATCAAATCTTAATACTCGATTACGAGCTTGAATAATCCGACAATCGAAAAATACGGTGTTGATAAATCCAAGTTCTGTCGTCTTTTCTCGTCTTTTCATCATAAAAATGACGTTTTTGATGACAATATATTACTAATAAAATGACAACAAATTACGTGATCTTGCTATCTGGAATATCATTAAGACTACACTTTATTTGCTTCTTCCAAATGCTCTGAACGTTGGCTTTTTCCAAACGGATTGATCCATTATTGTTTCGAATATTATATTGGATGTTTGATAAATAACGATAAATCTCTTGCATAGGTGTATAGCGGATTAAACTGAGTTGAAAAATTCTCTACTATTTTGCAATTGTTGCAATAATTCATAAAATATCAATTACTATAAAAATCATCAAATATTGATTTTTAATAATTTTTTATTCGAGTACTAGATAGAGTACGATTAAGTTTATAGAAAAACAGCAAGAGACAAAAATTATTTACTTTTTTCTCATAGATCTCTAAGAAAATTTTCAGAATTTTTTATCAACTTTTTGTAATAG